CCATTTTTAAGGGGCACAAATATTTACAACAGTTTAGAGAAGATTATGGCGGCACCATGGGAGCCTTCATCACCAGAAAGGTGCAAAGTAAAAAAAAACGCGATTGGGCGAGTCTTATTAGTCAACGAGCTCGGCCTTTTTTCCCACTGCAGCTGAGGTTCGCACCAAAATTCTAGCTTTCGAGGCTGGATTGGAGCATGCTTAGAACAAGAAAACGGAAATGTACCAAAAATGTGCAATATGCACAGCTCTCTCACCCCTGATTCATTGACAGACAGACAGACAGACAGACAGACACACAGACAGACAGACAGACAGACACATAGATAGATATGATCAAATTGTTTGTTGTAAGCAAGAAAATGCTTGGCATTCAAAACTGAAAATTTAAATTAACATGGAATAATAAATCCACCCTTAATCAATACATTACCGCTGATGCATAAATCATGAGAATATAAGCAGAGATGACAGCTTTAACTTTAAATGGATATTTCCATAACCTACTGGCATTGGTAGAGAAATTGTGAAATCCTACTGTGATGTGCCAGTCAGTACTGTTCCAGACAAAACTGTCGATTCCTTTACGTACATTGACATAACTCCTGGAGAAATCGTTATTGTCGTTAAAGCTATACCATGCGAACATAGTGCAGGGCGTGATGCAGTATTACCATTTCCCCTTAAAAACTTATTCAAAGAAATCCTTTGTGTTCCTTTGGCTACGATCACTAGTCATGCATTTCACATGTCCACCTTAGCCTGATTTACAAAAATACCAAGAGTAGTTCCAATTCCCATAAATGGTGACTGTAGCGTTCTGGAAAACTACTGTCCCGTGTCAATATCAAGTGCCATATATATAGTGTTCGAAAAACTTTTCAATCACAAAACAGTTACTAAGTCTTCTCACTCGAAGCTCTGTGCAATATGGTATTTGGAGCAGTAGATCAACTTCCACTCCAACTTAATTTCTTTCAGGCATGGTTAATTCCTACATAAATAACATGACAGTAAGTGGCATCTTCATTAATGCCAGAAAAGCCCTCAACACCATTCGTCACGGTATACTACTTACGAAATTGGAACATCATGGCTTCCAAGGGGTAAATCTCTAATCTTTTATAGTTACCTTATGAGCAAATGGTTCCCTTTTCCAACATAAATTTCGAATTTTTGCCGGTTACATCCGCAGTACCAAACGGATGGCTATTGGGACCAATTTTACTTTCTCTTTATATGAATCCCATTAACCCTACACAACTTTCCTCGCGTCGTGTAAGTTGATGACACTGCTCTCATTTGCGCATGAGTCCACAGATGAAGCTTTAAGCATGGCTAACAAGGAAATGAAACTAACTTGTGGTTGGTTTCAGGCCAGTAAACTGGTTGTTATAAATGTCATGTTAATCATTCACCATACAAAGTCTTAACTCTACACTTGTGTATGCTTCAGAAAGAGAGCAAAACTATAAAAATAGAGAGTAACCTCACATATCTTGATATTGTACTAGATCATAATTTCAACAAGAAAATGTATATTATTTCGCTCTTCAAAACGCTCAAGACAGCGCGCTTTATGTTTTTCGAATGACGCCAGTACTTCAATGTAGCAACATTGAGAACAATTTACACGGTGTCTACCAATTCACTTTTTTGAAATTCCCTGATTTTTCCAGGTTTTCTGGGATGATTTGAAGCAAATTCCATGACCCTTACGTCTGTTTCCAAAACTCTGTGCACTGAAAACAGATGCTCGAGTGATAGAAAAAAATGAAGCACACCTATAAAATAAGTAAATAAATGTACCACAAGTGTCTAGAATGTTCAGAGGATGCACGGTAAATATTAAAAAAATATGTACATCTGCCCAATATAAAACCTCTGAGTGAGAGAGTAAGCAAGTTGGCTGTTTATTGTTTGGAAGAACCAGAAAGAAAACACACGACTTAAAATTAACTGCAGCTAAAAGTTTAAAGGAGCCCACGACAGCCCTACAATGCAGCCAAAGCAGCTAGAAAACGTAGAAGTGGCACAGTCTCGTGGGTGCAAAAGGAGGACGCTGGTACCTGGACAGTTCCGCCACTAGAATATATTCTAGTTCACTATAACGGTTACAGCCCAGGCTGCTTATGATGTGGATTGGATTAGACTGACCTGTATTTACTGACTTAACTATTTAGAATGTGAATTGGATCTGATGCGACCTGGATTGCTGTATTTACAATTGATTTGCATTCCCACCTAAATTGCACACCTCTAGTATATACTTTTCAGGAAAAAAAAAACGACCACTCGGGTATTTTGTGCACCTTGCAATGAACAATGACTAACAACGTCACATGAACGGAGCCTTGCTGCATAATTTTCTTTTCCATGACGAGGACATGCATGTTGTAGTTTTATTTCTCTGGGCTCTGACGCTCAGAGTTTACCAAGGTCCTCAGATGCCTGCAATGAAAGCTAGGGGTAGCGTATAAAACGATGACGTTTGAACATGTGCAACAGCAACAGCTCCCTCGATTCCATAGATTTATCACAGATGCCAGTGGGTTACCTTCGTTTGTGTACTCTTCCATGAATATAAGACTAAAAAGTAATCACAGATTTAATAATACCATCTCAAAACTGAAATGAGAAATTTAGATGAAGTTGCCCAACTCTGCCCTTGAAACGCGAGCTACCAGCAATAAGTGTGTAGCTGAGGACTTTTGCCGTTGCAATGCCAATAATAATGATGATAGTAATAGGAATAATAAAAGGCATGACATAGCCTGGCAAGCCTCTGCTAATGGCAGTCCTAGCCGAACCAGAAGTCCTTCAAACCGAGCCAAATCATGGTCAAAACAAACATGCACAAATTTAACGACGGGAATCATGTTGTGATTGAAAAGTCAGATATGCTAAGCGATATGTAGAAGCAACAGACATCAACATAGTGTAGGTATGAATATAGAAGCTAGACAATGCTTAAGACAACGTGAAGGACAAGTTGCCAAGCGAAAATTTAAACCGTCTCTCCTACTTTAAGCTGCCACAATTGTGACAAGCACTACACCTATGAGACCACGAATTTCAAGGAAAGAGTGAACCCCTCACCCCCCTCATTCATTATAGCCGAGAATCGACCCTACAAAAAGTTCATGTTCCTCACTGTGAAACACAACACGAATATGATTTCAGGAAACTACGTGACCTCATATGCCCTCGCTAAGCATGTGGATTCGACAGGCCACCAAACTGACTGGTCAAGTGTGCGTGTTCCGGCCAAAGAAAAGCTTACATCACGCCTGCACCTGAAATACCAGCACATGCAGACAACTGCACATATGCTGAGCAGGAGTGATGGGACGCTTCCAACAATGTACTTCCAATGCTCACATCATGTACTTAGACGTACTTCATCTCATTTTTCGTTTTCAGTTGACTGTTTTCAAAAAAAGATTTACAAGATCAACAAATTTACAGGTAAGTGTCCCAAAGTAAAAAAAAAAATAGTGGGGTGGCGTGCCTTTCTTATGGCTGTTTTTGTGATCAAAGCTCCCGTAGCGGGTGCCATAATGTCAGTGAACTTTGTATTCTATTGGTAGGTGTATCCTTTCGCTTCTTCACTAAGAAGGAACAGTTGGGCACTGCTCTTTTTTCCCACAACTTTTAACTGGTCACTGTAGTTGCAGCTGAAGGCATGGATTTTCTAAGCTTTCATCAATAGTAACGCTTATTTTTGTGATGACTGCACAGGCTACAGTAAGTTTCCATGACAAGGCCAGATTTTTCAGAAATTCCCTGACTTTTTCAGAGGGGTCCAAATTCCCTGACTTTTCCACGTTGGTAGACACCCTGATTTATCCTGTCATATTTCACAGCCAACTGCCATATTATAATGAAGCTGAGGGCCACACATAGGATTCATACATCAAGCCCCTAATCGTCCTGCAAAAAAAGTGGTATCTATTTGATATCAAATGAAACTACAAAATCTCAACTAAACTACTCTTTAATCAATACCAAACCACGACCCTTACAACAACTCATAAAAATTATAAAACAACAATAACAGTTAATAAAACTCTGACAAGCAATATTCCTCTTCATTGTTCCTATTTTGTATTTTGACAATTCCAACCAAGAGGCAGTCGTGGTAACCTTCTAAAACCTTCTAAATGTTGAAAGAAGTAACCTTCTAACCTTCTAAATGTTGAATTCAATAGTCAATCTCGCGCCAAAATCCAGGTGTTTGTAACATGTTTTAGTTTGACTATATTTCGTTAAAGTTCAGTACAATAATAAAGTAATTATTGAAACATATCGCAACCATTTTAGTGACGATGACATTAGGAAAAACTTTCGGCGAAAGTATCCCAGCGTCCCGCCGCGGTAGTCTAGTGGCTAGGGTACCCGGCTGCTGACCCGCAGGTTGCGGAATCGAACCCCGGCTGGGGCGGCTGCATTTCCGACGGAGGCGGAAATGTTGTAGGCCCGTGTGCTCAGATTTGGGTGCACGTTAAAGAACCCCAGGTGGTCGAAATTTCCGGAGCCCTCCACTACGGCGTCTCTCATAATCATATGGTGGTTTAGGGACGTTAAACCCTACATATCAATCAATCAATCAAAGTATCCCAGCATACGAGAGGCTTCAGCGGTTATAGAGTTTACCAGGATTGTTCATTGGTAATGAGAACTCCCATGTTCCCTTGTCCCAAGTACGGGTATCATGTCACGCATTCTGGTGGGATGTTATTAAGCACGTAAGTCGGGCAGATTACGTTATCACGCGAAATTCTCGCACTCTTGCATGTTTCCCAAGTTTGATTTTATGCACCATGTTGGGCATTACTCATTAGTGTTATTGAAGTCGACTTAAATCACTCGCAAATTAGTGTTGCATAAAAAAGTTACAAAACAGAAATAAAGCGTAAAAACGAACTTTGATTTGGCGTTGAAAGTGCGCGCGCGCGCCATCGAGAAAGCCGCATGCGTGTCTCGTACAGACAGTTTACCTGCTTTAGGCATTGGCCAGGCGTCCCATCATCTTGGTTTTCAGCAGTATTCAGCTCCCTGTAGGAAGGAAGTGAACGCGTCAGTACGAACCAGCAGAATGAAAATAAGCGATTGCGTCAGTTTTTTCTTTGTTTTGTTTTTACAGCAACAAGCGAATACATGCGACAAGAACGTTCCTAAACGTAACACTCGCAGCTACCGCATACAACACATCCTAGCACACGGCAGAATGTTATCACTAACGAATAACCAGTTCACTCTCATCACAAAGATTCAGGAAAAGGAGGTAATGAAAGTTCTACATACCTTTCCAAGTGAACATCGCAGCGATCCTCACAGGCTACGTTTTCTCCGTTTTCATCCATATTCGTCTATTGCGCGACTATAAACACATCACCAATGCTACTCACAACATTATTGAAGCATGTCACGACACAAACCTATGAAGAAGGCTTCGCACCACGGTTCGCACCCTCACAGTGACATAGAACAAAAGCAATGCGAACTGAGCGAAAATTATGGCGGAAGTCACGTGCTTGTTCCGGGGGGGGGGGGGGGGGTTACTAGCAGGGCACGTTTTGTGTCGTCTGCATCAGCACTCGTATGACCGTGTTGTTGATAGCCCGCTGGAGTTCTTAGTGTGCATTTAATACAGCTCTTGCGCTTCGAAGATAGTGCGGTGTGTCGAAAGCCTACAGTGAGAGTTTGTCTTTGCGGTTGCGAGTTTATTTTATATCGCTTGAGGTCCAAAGCGGTCGTTTCCGATGCTCGTGACCATTTCACCGAAAATGATTGGCGCCGCACCTTCGCTGTTTTCCTTCGGCACTGTACTTGCGTGCCTCAGCAAAGGAAGCCTACAATCATAAGACGAGAACGGCAGGGTCCACGGCCCTTAATGCGAGAGGCGGTGGTGAACCGTTTGGTGTACGACAGTCACAACTACCGGAAAGCGTGGCCCAATGTTCTCACCAGAGTCAACAATTAGACGTGCCTGACATAGAAGGTAATTCATTGTTCGAATTATCGTTACCTGTTAACGTTTTGCGCGCGGTAACTTCATTTTTGGCCGAGTTTCATTCGATATGGTCGCAGTCGGCTGACCCGCACGCTGCTGCGAATGATACTCGTTCGCAGCAGCGTGCGGTACACAGTAAAGCATAATTCCGAGGTACTTAATCTGGCTAAATGGCAAGGCAAATTAAATAATATTTCACTGTTACGTAACCGTAACAATACGTTACGTAACGCGAACTTACCGTATCTGCAAAAGAAAACACTGCAGCTTGTCGCACCGTTGCTCTCCTGAATTCAGCTAATTAAACACGAAGTGCAAAGCTGCAAGTTTATTGTATATTCACGATATGAGCCGTAATGACGCTGCGAATGGCACACAGGCACTCCACAAACGTTTGCTCATAATCAGCACAAACGTTTCGCTTTTCAAGATCATCTCTCAGATGGCGGCGGCGGTGCCGGCCGACGTGTCTGAAATGAATGAATGTGTAGTTAAAAAAAAAAGAAAAGGGCACTATCTTCTCTGCCATGGAGGAAGAAAAACGTTCTCTGCAGTACGGTTTTAGCAAGGTCGATGTTACAGTACGGTCCCTATAATATACTGGCCAATATTCTAGGGGCACGACTCGCCTGCCTCTCGCTGGCACCCGTTGCGCATGCGCGAGACTCTTTTTTACTTCCGGCTTCACAAAATGTGAGCGTGAAGGACCTCATAATCGGCCAATCCCCTTCTTTGGGGACGAGCCATTTGCAGAGGAAAACAACAAGGCATTTCCTTCCTCCGTGCATTACAGCCTCTCCTCAGCTCCATGGTCGTAGCCGAAGCGCCAAAATCAATCCTAGCTACTATTTATAGATTGTTACAGTTTGTGGGAGCAATTTTTTGGTTTGTGAAACGCTTTGCGGTGGCGACTCCGTACTTGAGGGTGCCTAGGTACATTTTAACCTGGTTGTGTGTACATACATGCATTGTACGTGTGTGTGTATATATACACTGTGTGCATAATTCGCTAGCCTCGTTGATGCCAGGGAACGCGGCTCAGGTGTTGGGCGGGACACGGGATGTGAGCAGAGTGCTTTGAATGTTTCTGTGGGTTGCACGCTAGGCAATCACTGGTGCTGTGCTGTTCTCAATTGTAACTTTTCCCGCTCTTCTGCTGGGTCGATGTTTTGCACAAATCAGTGTATCATTTTCGTAGTTGTGTGGAAAACTACAGACTACTAAAGTGTGTTTACAAGTTCTTTTTGCCGCTCTTATATGATGTCTGCACGGTATAACCACAATATGCCACGCGGTAACCCGTGTGGTCAAACAGTAAGAATTTTTGGTTGACGCTAAAGGTTCGTTCATTAGCATATCAGTTGGCGAAAGAGTGCTTTTTCTCGACTTATTGTGTCTCGTTGTTCAGAGTTTTGTCATTGGACACTTGATGCATAAAGTACTAGACCGTTTTAGCCAACGAGAGTTCTGTGACGATGCAGATCCGTGGTTTAACAAAATTCACTGGGAACGATGACGGAGAAGTATTTTTCATTGACAGAGACACTATTAAAGAACACGTCATATGTGTTCTCAAGCTATATACATATGCACTTTAATTTTTATCACAGTTTGGCACGAATTAAAGCAGGTGGCAAATCAGACTAGGGTGGTACATTCTCAATTTTTTATGAAAAGGTACACGGGAGCGCGTTGCTTGCGCACCACAGGGGCTGTTGTAAGCGCGTTCAAGTGGTAGCGAGAGCAACCACCCACCGCCTCCACAAGCGGCAAGACAAGACTGCAACCGCCTCCCTCTTCAATGGGATTACCGGCCTCTTGCTTACACACCTTTAAAGGGGAGGTGGTTGCAGTCTTGTCACTGTTTCCATATCATCAATGACTGCTTGCTTTGCTCACTGCAGGATGAGGCGAAAAGAGGTTGTGGTTGCTCTCGCACCCACTTGAATGCACTGCCAGCAGCCGCCGGAGCACGCAGGCCGCATGCTTCCGGGTTCCCTGTCATAAAAATTGACACTGTACATTACAGGACTCTGGCTGTCCTGTTAGAAATGTGCCCAGATATGTATGTTTGAAACTGTGGCAGCAAGAAGATTCTGTCTGTTTAAGTCACCTGCACTAGTCTCAATCGGTTCATGGTGCAAAATCAGAACTTCTAAATTGTGCAGCTCAAGTTTGGAAGTAAAGACACCTTGCAAAGTTGGAAACAAATGGTTCTGGCATGGGACAGACCTTGTGTTTTGTCTACCTAATGTACACCGTCGAAATAAACTTAGGTGGTTGTAAACATAGGCGTATCAGCCCGGAGGGGGGGGGGGGGGGGGGGCAAGGGGGGCGCGACCTCCTCCACTTTTGACAGTAGTCACTGACATTTTTGCCTCCATCGAAAATGCAGCCATCAAATAGATCATATATATATATATATATATATATATATATATATTATATATATATATATATATATATATATATATATATATATATATATATATATATATATATATTAAGTAGGTTGTTTGCCCCCCCACTCGTGAATGAGTTGGTACACCACTGGTTGTAAACTGCATGGTCGATCTCCGAGTTATAAACACACATCACATTGCAGACATAGCAGATGCATGTAAAGGGGTTCCAAGATGAGAATTTTTAGTTTTATTTTTTTGGGTCAGATGAACGACCAAGCTCTTAGCAGCCTTCAGAATGTGCTGGTGAGTGTGCTATGGAAAATGAATGACAATGAGACTTAAAATAGTTCCTGTTCTTACCTCTCCCAGATCGCGATATGAGCTTCTTGTCGCATGCTTGCACTAGAGGTTGCGACATTTACCTGGCCTTTCTGCTCAGTGGCTACAATAATGATTCGATAGAAACCATTCTGTATATTTGGTGCCTGACATCATCACAACTAGCCACACTAGTGTGTGAAGTCACCAAAACTTGCACTGTAGCATGATGTCATGCTTTTGTCGATGTCTATGCAAAAAAGTTACTTCACTGTCAAAATAAAATATTGGAATGTTCCAAGCTTCATAGTTGCTCGGAGCTGTCTCTGTATAGGATATTTGTATGGCGGTGTAAACTTTAAAAGTGGCACGGTGCAGAGGACGCCATCATGGCACCACTGACATTGATGGTATGGATAGAGATTTGAGTTCATTGGAAATTCATATAAGATATAAGGACACAACAAAAAAGAAGACTCACTGTAATTGAGATGCTGCACACTGCCATTATTTTCATCACAGTAGCCTTACAGCTAGGGAACACAGTGACAAGAAAGAAGACTCACTGTGTTCAACACAGTACGTCTTCTTTCTTGTCACTGTGTTCCCTAGCTGTAAGGCTACTGTGATGAAAATAATGGCAGTGTGCAGCATCTCAATTGCTTCACATGATGTAGACAAACTGTGCAGATCTCTTTTTAATGTTTTGGAGCCTTGGGTACATTTTTGAGGAAAGGTAATACAAATATCAGCTATACTGAACAGCACAATACAGTATACTTTTGTTAAATGGAACATGAAGGGACCGGGAAAATGTGTTCTGTTAAGAGGAGTTTCATTGACTGAGAGAGGAACAAGGGTGGAGAATCCAAGTATGAAACCAATTGTGCTGGAGGGAGTTGTTACACTTAAGCAGCAGTTCCATTCAATAGATTTCTGTTTACTGAGAGTCTGCTGTATTTTTATATGATTTGATCTACTTTGCAAACAAGAGTTCGACTTATTTCACCACATTCTGAGCGTGTGCATAGTGCTTCTGCCAGTGGCGGAATAACTGTAGTCTTATGTGCTTTCTCTCTGTACATCAATTACTATCTGGAAGGCAACTATGAAGAAATTGTTATTTTTGTGTCCTACAGTGAAAATCGGGGTGTACGTCTGAGGGGAAGGCGAGGGGGGGTGTTGTTGTACTGCTATGTTCAGATTTGTTATCTGGCCATGGGCAAGTTATAAGACCCAACTTCCTTTTCCTTTTTTTTTTAGCTGATGGATCATATTGTCACGTTACACCGTAACTGTAACCTGTAGACAATGGCACACAAGGACGTCAAACTGATCCGAACAACGGCGGTATGACTATTGTTGTTCTCTGCACGCGCATCTTTGTCCTCTTCTGAACAGCGGCACATTCAAGCATGCTAGCATCTGTGGAAATAGTACTTTCAGAACTTGTACTAGTGGCATTACCCCCCTTCCCAAAGGACATCGTCCGGATGTCATAACATATTTACCAGATGAAAAGAAAACACGTACGATAAGCATTACACAAGGGGGTGTTCACAATCACTGTAAGTCTGCTCAAGAGAGTGTGACGAATAGTCGGCATTGGTAAAATGGTTTCATCCTCGAAACATGGACGACGTGTGGCTGTTGTGAACGGCGGGATTGACGAGCCTTGTCCTCGTCAAGAACCTCGTAGTTCACTTCGCTGAGACGACGGAGAACTCTATAGGGACCAAAATAGCGGCGTAACAACTTTTCCGACCGGCCCCGTTGTCGAATGGGAGTCCACAACCATACTCGTTCTCCGGGTTGGTAAGAGACATCGCGACGACGAGCGTTGTACCGCAGCGAGTCGATGCATTGTTGCTTATGGATTCGTTTGACTGCAAGCCTATGAGCCGCGTCTGCCAGTCTGATAAATTCGTTCATCTTGACACTAATCTTGTGTCTGTCTGGTAGAAGCATGGCATCCAGCATTGTAGTGACCTCCCTGCCGTAAAGCAACCGAAATGATGTGAATCCAGTTGGTTCTTGCACAGCGGTGTTGTAAGCGAACATGACGTAAGGGAGAATGTCATCACAGTTTTTGTGGTCTTGGTCAACGTACATGGATAGCATGTCGGCGATCGTCTTGTTTAGTCGCTCTGTAAGGCCGTTGCTTTGTGGGTGGTATGCAGTAGTTTTTCGATGTACTGTGCCGCTAAGCTGCATGACGTCTTGTATCATCCGGGCGGTAAAAGCTGTTTCACGATCAGTTATGACAGCTGCTGGTGCTCCATGTCGGAGGACGATGTTTTTCATAAAGAAGTGGACAGTCTCAATGGCAGTGCCACGTTGTAATGCCTTCGTTTCGCAGTAGCACATCATGTAATCAGTAGCGACCACAATCCAGTGGTTGCCGTCACGAGACTTGGGAAAAGGTCAGAGTAGATCCATGCCAATTTGTTGGAACGGTTGTGTCGGAGGAGCGACGGGCTTCAAAAAGCCGGCTGGGCGCTGATGTAGTGCTTTACGGCGCTGGCACTCGTGACAAGTCTTCACGTAATGCTTCACGTCTCGACTGAGCTTAGGCCAGTAGTAGTGTTGGCGAATCCGGGCCAAGGTACGTGTGAATCCCAAGTGGCCTGAGGAAGGCTCATCGTGACAGGCGGACAAGACATCGGCTCGTAACGCTGGCGGGACAACAAGCAGGTACTCAGTCGCGTAAGGGTCGAAGTTTCTTTTATAGAGGATATTTCTGCGGACGCAGAACGATCATGACGAGAGGGCGAATACTGGTAGTGGATGCGGCGTACAGCCTTCAAGATATTCAATGAATTGTCGAAGCTCGGAATCGTTCTTCTGCTGTTCAGCAAAGTCGGATACACTAACGGCGCAGAGAAAACGGCCGTCGATATCGTGATCACCTGACGCTGTCTTAAGAGGAGCTCGGGAAAGGCATTCGCGTCAGTATGCTTCTGGCCAGACTTGTACATGACTGTCAAATCGAACTCCTGAAGGCGTAAGCTCCACCTGGCCAGACGTCCGGAAGGGTCTTAAAGGTTCGCCAATCAGCAGAGCGCATGATGATCGGTAACAACTCTGAACGGGCGACCATACAGGTACGGTCTGAATTTAGCTATTGCCCAGACAACAGCTAAGCACTCCTTTTCAGTTGTTGTGTAATTCGCCTCCGCAGATGATAAAATCTGGCTCGCATAAGCAATAAGGCGTTCGACGCCGCCTTGCCACTGGATGAGGACTGCACCAAGGCCGATGTTACTGGCGTCTGTGTGTAGTTCAGTGTCGGCATATTCGTCGTAGTGTCCGAGTAAAGGCTCAGACTGGAGACGCTGCTGGAGCTCGCAGAAAGCGCGTGTTTGCTCAAGGCCCCACACGAAGGGAACGTCGTCTTTTGTCAGACGAGTGAGGGGTTCGGCAATGTTTCCGAAATTTTGCACAAAGCCTCTGTAGTACGTGCAGAAGCCTAAAAATCGACGCACATCACGTTTGTTGGTAGGTGGTGTAAAATCTGCGACAGCCAATGTTTTGTCTGGGTCCGGCCGAATACTATCAGGGCTAACAAGGTGACCGAGGAACTTTAATTCGTTGTAACCAAAATGACATTTTTCTGGTTTTAGTGATAGGCCTGACGTGCGAATTGCAACAAACACAGATCTAAATTGCTACAAATGCTACTCAAACGTTTGGGAGAAGACAATGACGTCGTCTAAGTAAACTAGGCATGCTTCCCACTTGAGACCGGAGAGCACTGTATCCATCATCCTCTGGAATGTCGCAGTGGCAGAACACAGACCGAAGGGCAGCACCTTGAATTCGTACAGACCATCAGGCGTTATGAATGCTGTTTTCTCTCGGTCGCGTTCATCAACTTCGATCTGCCAGTAGCCACTGCGTAAATCCATAGAGGAGAAGTATCGAGCACGTCGGAGGCGGTCTAGTGAGTCGTCGATGCGCGGAAGCGGATAAACGTCTTCCTTTGTGACTTTGTTGAGTTTGCGGTAATCGACGCAAAATCGGAGAGTGCCGTCTTTCTTTTTTACTAGTACGACGGGGGACGACCATGGGCTGTTCGAGGGTTGGATTACGCCATCTTCGAGCATCTGCTTCACTTGAGAACGTATAGCCTCTTGTTCCTTTTGTGATACTCGGTAGGCGTGCTGACGTATGGGTCGCTCAGCATGGTCAGTGACAATGCGGTGCTTTACGATTGGCGTTTGTTTTATCTTGGATGTAGATGCGAAACAGTTACTAAACATGCGGAGGATACAGCGGATTTGCTCTTTCTGCGCACATGACAGCTTCGGATTGACATCGACTGCATCGGCTACCGCGGTGTCACTTTCAATGGCTGCAGAAATGGGGGCTATCCTCGTACATGCTTCATCGTCAATGGATTCGAAATGAGCGATTGTTGTTCGCTTGGCCAAATGTTGGTATGCTGCACTAAAATTGGTGACCAACAACTCAGTCATACCACGTTTAAATTGAATTATGCCGCGGGCAACGCAGATTTGCTGAGACAAGAGCACCGAAAGGTTGGCTTCAGCGATATCACTACTGTCATGGTCTATGTCGCCCTGTACAGTAATGAACATACTGATGCGTGGCGGAAGTGTGACGGTGTCGTCGACAATGCGAAGCGCAGTCTTCTGCGGATTGGTATTTCTAGGCTTTGGGCCATAGTCGTCAGCAAACGTTACGAGGCAGTCTCGAAGATTTGTAACAGGGCCGTGCTCACGAAGGAAATCCATGCCAAGGATAACTTTCTGGGAGCATTCAGGAAGCACAACGAAAGAAGCAATGAACGTCGACTCACAGATTTGCAGCCTTGCAGTGCATCTCCCGATTGGTGTCAAGAGATGACCACCGGCTGTTCGAAGGTTTGGTCCATGCCCCCAAGGAGTCGTGACTTTCCTGAGTTCAGCCACAAGTTCAGCGCTGATAACTGAGTAGTCGGCGCCGGTGTCGACCAGAGCAGTCACTGGATGGTTGTCGACACGAACGGCTCGTTACTTTATATTTCTTGCCTCATTTTAAAGCTTTTATTTTTTTAAACAAAAGGGTTTTAAATTGTGGTATTTTACCCATCTTCGCTGGCGTAAAAGCTAGAGGCTTTAACTTTTAAAAGGGCCCTGCAATAGTTTTTGAGCATGGTTAGAAAATTCTGCCGAGCAATAGTCGAGGCTCCTGAGAACGCAAACATTATAGTGTGGCATGTGGCCTAGAATTTACAATAAATTCTCAAAGTCACCTAGAAATTGCTCCTGCTTCTCGCTACAAATTATGCCATATACCTAAATTTCTGTGCTGTATAGCCATTTCCACGGTGCTTGGCTGATTTGAGCATCGTCCGTTGCGTAGTTGCTATGGCCACAGTAGAAGGCCACCACATGACCGTGCATGCACATACAATTGCACTAAAAGTAAGCAGTGCGTTTGAAGAAAAACAAAGGGTTCAACGTCATGATGTGCGCTGATTACGAGGTGCATGTTCTTGTCCTCTTGTCATTCCCCTTCCTGCGTAACTTTGAGCAACCTCACTGGTTTAGAAGGAGAGTGGAACCACTTGAAGCAGGTGACTGATACTTGTAACTGCGCTCGCACTTGACGGATTCTTAAAATCTTCTCAGCATGTTATTTATAAAGGGTCATGCGCTAATAATGAGACTATTCCAGTACAATTTTGAAAAATGTTGCAGAGCCCCTTTTAGCATCTTAACACTAATGCATGCATCTCTAGTACCTGTGCCATCTAGCAGTTTGAGACAATTCACATGCATGAATCATCACATAGCATCATTTTGCTTATAAATGTCAGCATGCCAGTTTACTACATGTTGTACCACAATTTTTGCTGAGTTGGTCGGTAAGGTACTTCTTTGGAGATCCTGTGATAATTCTTGCTGCCTGCAAAACACTTAATGTAACATTCCCACAGAGCCCGTAACTTTTTTTATTGTTACCGTACAGGTGCCCTGAATGAAAGCTTATCAATGGTGTTGCATCTAAGAAGACGCCATGCAGCCTATTTAAAGAAACTGACATTTATTGTCTTTGTTTTGATTTACTGTGAGGTAAGCTTTAAATTTGTTCGTGACCATTTTGCATTAGCCATACATGTGGCTTTTATCGCTTGTAGATTGTATTCTTTCAGAACTGCTTTGAGTGAAAGTTTTGTATATTTTTTAGTAGTGGCCCGTAAGCAACCTTTTGATATATTTTTTTTAAATTGTGGCACATTCCCTGTGAAAAACGTTTGTTTCACTTATATCCTGTTGATATTTCTCAAGCTCTTGATCCTTTAGTTAACATTCAGAGGGCACATAAAAAGTTTGCAGTTTGGGCTTTGTCTTACATTATGTGGACAATTAATAATTCTGAAATGAAGTGGGCCAAAACTACGGCATGATTGTGAGGCGTGCCATGGTGGGAGGCTCATGGGTAATTTTCTCCGCTAGTGGCTTTTTAAAGTGTACATCACCATCATCAGCTTCACTACGCCCACTGCAGGCTCTTCGCATGATCCCTCAATCAGCCCGGTCCTGTGCTTTCTGCTGCCACATCATACATGTGAACTTTTTAATCTCATCGGCCCTCCTAACTTTCTGTCTCCCCTTCGTGTGTTTGTCTTCTCTGGGAATGCAGTCAGTTACTCTGAATGACCTGTGGTTATCCTGCCTTTGCTCTACGTGCCCGTCCCATGTTAGTTTTTTTCTTCTTGATTGCAATTACGATATCCTTAACCCCGGTTTGTTCCCTGACCCACTCTGCTCTCTTCTTATCTCTTAAGGTTACACCTATAATTTTCCTTTCTGTCGTTCGCTGCATCGTCCTTCTCCCTTCTTACACCCTTCTTTATTGGGATTATGTCGCTTTCTTCATGGAGAACTTTGGAGACTGTGGATACATTGTAGATTTCTTCTAGTATGTATATGTAGGGCTCATTGGTTCCCTTATTTCGTAGTGTCTGCATTACCACTGATGTCCCGACTGAGTCAAACAGCTTCTCATAATCTATGAAACCTATGTATAGAGGTTGGTTGTATTCCGTGCGTTTCTCTATTACCTGATTGATAAAATGCATAGGGTCTATCGTGGAGTAGCCTGTAGAAATGCTGCTTGGTCCGTTGATCGATTGAACTATAATGTCGCCTTGATTCTATTAGCTATTATTTTTGTAACTAATTTATAGGGAACAGACAGTAAGCTGATCGGCTGCAATTTTTCAAGTCCTTGACATCTCTTTTCTTATGGATTAAAATGATGTTGGCGTTCTTCCAAGATTCTGGTACCCTTCCCGCCAAGAGACACTTCGTATAAAGCGTGGCCAGTTTTTCTAACGCAATTTCTATGCCATCTTTCAGCAGGTCTGTTGTTACCTTATCCTCACTAGCGGCTTTGTCTCTTTGCATTCCTTCTAGGGCTTTTCTTACTTCCCCCGTCGTTACTGGTAGGATGTGGAACTCTTCTCAGCCATTATTGCTTTTTACAATATCATCCTGGCTCTTTCGGCTTTCGTACAGTTCTCTGTAGAACACACGCATAGAAAACCACCATCTCAACTATCCTATCCATATTGGTTATGACATTGCCTTCCTTGTCCCTTAAAGCATACATCCAATTTTTGCTTATGCACAAGTTTGCCTTCACAGCTTTTAGGCTTCTGCCGCTTTTTACAGCCTGCTCAATTTTCTACATGTTATACCTTTTGATGTCTGCTACCTTGCACCTATTGATTAACTTCGAAAGCTCCGCTAGCTCTATATTGTCTGTTTCATTTGAGGCTGTCATGGTTTGTCGTCTCTTGATGAGATTTTTTGTCTCCTGAGATAGTTTGCCAGTGTCCTGTCTAGTGACGTGGTACCTCCAACTTACATTGCACACTCTCTGATGATACTGGTAAGATAATCATTCATTGTGTAAATGCTAACGTTAGTTATCTCGTTGAGTGTCTCGAATCTATTCTGAAGCGAATCTGTGAATTCTGGTACTTTCCCTTTCACTGCCAGCTCATTGATTTAAAATGTACACTTAAATAGAACATTGCAGGGTTTTTTGCCTCAGGGACCAGAACTCAAACTGATACTTAGTTGGATATATCTTGGAATACTATATCGAAATGTATCAAGCACATTTTTGTTATCAGCTCTTTTGCAAGTTGTTCACTTTCTGATGGGATATGTGCATAGCTTAGCACACTTATTGTGGTGCATGATGGTTTTGAGAAGTCTGTTTGAGAAATGGTTCTACTTAATCAAGTGGTGATAGTAGGGGAGCTACCGCATAAAAAAATGAAACACTGAAGCCACGTGTGGAAACACCAAAGTAAAGTCAGTCCTGGCATGTTATGTTGTACCATATGTTGGATCTTCGAATAGACGAGTTCAATACATATAGGAGAACAAAGTTAATTACCAAAAGCGAAACAACACCGCTGTAGAGTTGGGATTTTAAAATTTTTGTTTTGGCATATGTTTTTTCTTCAATTAATGAAATTATTCAGAACCACGTACTTGGGAGATACGCTCCCATAGCTTGCCATATACTGCCAGTAAGTCCTTACTATTGCACCTTGCCCCGCTGCAGTGGTCTAGTGTTGAAGGTATTCAGCTGGTGATGAGCAGGTTGCAGGATCGAATCCCGGCTGTGGCGGCTGCATTTTCGATGGAGGCGAAGATGCTGTAGGGCCGTGTGCTCAGATTTGGGTGCAGGTTAAAGAACCCCAGGTGGTCGACATTTCTGGAGTCCTCCACTACGGTGCCTCTCATAATCTTATGGTGGTTTTGGGACGTTAAACCCACATATAAAAAACATCATTGCTATTGCAGCTTCCGTTGTAGTAAATTCTTGTGTGAAGTTCAAGAATCAATTAAAGCTTTTGTTCATGCTTGGTTTATAGCACAAGGACCTAGCATGTAGTATGACAGTGTTAGGTATCATGACAGTGTTGGTCTTTTTATATTTCTCCAGAAAACTGCTGCTGAAGCGGCCGGCTGAGCGCTCTAGACTAGTGTGATTCGGTCTGTGCCTGTACTTGCATGGGTCATACTTAGCTTCAAGTTTGGTGTGTACTAAATTGTTGTATTGAAATAGCTATTGGCAGCGAAAGTTATAAAATACATTGCACACAAAGACATAGTATAAAGAAGGAACTACAACAAAGAAAAACTGTGGCCGTCAACCGAATCCAAATTATGATTAGTATATGAGATCCGAAATTGCGAAAGTTTTTTGTTCACAATAAGATGAATGAGAAAGAGGAGAGTGACTAAATATACATGGCGTCAAGTATCTTCAGTATCTTCTTTGCATGCAATATTTGCTGCAATATTGACATATTTGCTGTTCTGAATGATCATGAACAAGCCTAAATAGCAGAACTTTTCTTAGAGATGGCATTAAGATAACTTTTCTATGCGTGTGTGTGTATGTTGGTATTGTTTGCGCAGTAAGTTATTATGGCACACAGAAAAGCAAGAGCCTATTTAGTTTGGCTCATACGAAATAAAAAGGGACACATGAAGGACAAATGGAACAGACAGTTAAAGGACAGCTTTATATTGTTTGCATCTTAAAGGTTATTTCATGAGCATTCTAGGTTTTTGTTTGTTAGATGCGTGTGTTCAGTTATACAGTACAAACAATATTGATTGCAACTTAAGTAGTAATATTTTCTTGTGATTTTTATATTAAGTGCTTGTGAACTATGTGAACTGTGCACAAGTTATGCACAAGCTTGCTATTTCACAGTGACACAGCGCATAGCAAGTATTTTATTGCATTTTCTATAGCAATATTTTCTTGTGTTACTTATCAATAAATACCTAAACTGTGAACATTACTCATACTTGCTAATTAATCTGTGTAGTCACTGTCAGTGGTGTCTGAAAACCAGAATGCGGAATGATGGTTCAAGTCCCTCTTTCTCAGTTCATCATATACTACGTTGTCATCGGGAAATGTTCCTGGCCTCACTTGACAAAAAGGGGCAGTTTTGTTGCTCAAGATGAAGTGGAGCCCTTGAAGATGATGCTGCTTGCTGACACTCACCTTTTGGGTCCTAAACGTGGCCATTGGTTTGATAAACTACGCAGGTGAGTTATGTGAACTGAAAACATTTGAAGGGCCTTTTACCTGGTTTCATTTCAGATTTTATTTATGCTTTGAAAGTTGTAACAGGTGCTTTACATTGCAAATATTTTACCTCAGAATGTCTTTGAAATGGGTTAAATATAGGAAAATATGAGAGATTCGAAGTGTATTTGAATGATGCCTCCAGGAGGTGAATGTTCCATCAACAGAGACACTCTCTTAGTGGAACAGCGACACAGCATCATGTTCAGATGACAAGCTCTGCCTCCTTTTTTTTTCTCATCCTGTAATGATGCATGGTGCATTCTCAGGGTTGGCATTGCATGTTTCGCATTGAATGGTAGCCCTACCGCGATGGTCTAGTGGCCAAGGTACTTGGCTGCTGACCCGCAGGTTGCGGGATCAAATCCCCGCTGTGTCGGCTGCATTTTCAATTGAGGCGAAAATGCTGCAGGCCCGTGTGCTCAGATTTGGGTGCACAATAAAGAACCCCAAGTGGTCAAAATTTTCGTAGCCCTCCACTACGCCCTCTCTCATAATCATATGGTTGTTTTGGCACATTAAACCCCACATATCAATCAAATCAATTGAATGGTTAACCAAAGTCATGTGCCGTGGCTGGTGAGGTTGCAAGCAATTCACCTTTCATAAGTGCGTTTGTGTGTCTGACCTTGACTCTTGCTTGAAAAACGGCACTCTTGAAGAAAAGTGCTGGCAGTTTTTTTTTGTGTCTGTAAAATTTCAACATTTGGTTGTTTTCACATGACACAGCTGCTTCATACTACACAGGCTTGACTGCTGCCACGTGGTCTGTGTGCTGGGCTTGTTTGTATGATATTCCTAAATTTGATAAAAGGCCATTTAATATGTGGGATATGTGGGAGTGATGTCTCCATGCCTGGCCGCCTCCCCTCTTTTTTTAATTCTAAAATTCGTATTATTGTTGCACAATTTGTAGACAAAGCACCTCAGCGACCTTAATGACGCATTTACAAGCTGGAGAGCGAATGCTGGAAAGCATTTTGCGAATCTCTGGACCCTCATAAACCGCTGTCATATATCTGGAGAACAGTTCGTGGTCTTCGCTCCTCTCCGCAACAACAGCACCCTTTTAAAGCTTCGGCACTCTATCATGGAAAACAGAACGCGTCTTAGCAAAGCGTTCGAAACACTTGCTTTTTCGTGCAAGCGTTGCATGGTCAGCGCAGTGGGATAAATGCTACGGTCTTTAATATTACTTATGTATGTCGCTTTTCTAGTAAAAGGACACACATACAGAATATTGACTTGTTGGTATGGTGCCTAAGATATGCACAGTAATTGCTTTTTTAATTGACAATTGCACAAGTATGAAAGCTGAATCTTGAGCAATATTGGTGGGCGCTGCGGATAGGGTCAGTCGTTTGGGTTATTGTTTAGTGCGGTTAGGGTACCGTTAAAGGCGGACAAATGTACAGACAGACAGACCAAAATTTTTGCGTCGAAGGTCCCCAAGAAAGGCTATCGTCTTTAAAAACTCAATAGCACTGCAAAATGTCTAAGGAAAGATGTATTATTATTCTTGTATTTTTGTTACACACGATACTGACCTGACCCTGCATATGCTCAACAAGGTTGACGCTGCATATTTACTTGTCTAAACCAAGTACCACAACACCTGCTGGTTTGAGTTTCTAAAACTATTGTGTGGTCACTGTCAGGACACAGTAGTTAGTACATGAGTACCTAGGGTCACTTGTGGCTTTTCTCATTGCAGGCATGACATTTTGGAAAACCAGATTTTGAGCATTTTAACTGTGGAACTGTTTAAAGGGACACTAAAGTCAAATAAAACTTTACGTCAGAATGAAACATTTATGTTTGAGAACATCTAAAATGTCTTTACTATCGACAGAGGTGCTCTACTTATCAAGCAATTAAGGTAAACTTACAACACCTTACACGCCTCGAGCGGGACATTTTGAAGTAATCCCAATGACGTCAAGGGGTCTGACTACAATTAACCACTAGTAATCAAACCAGTTTGCAATAAAAATAAGAACCTTCGGTGCATTACACCATGTTATAAAATGTTGCTTCTCAATTTATACTTGATTCATGGAAGAAAGAACTGCTTGGCGTTTCCATGGGGATTGGCAGATTGGTTCAAAAAGTCCTGTTTTTTGCCTGGTTGGGCTCTATAGCTGACGCCATCTAGATGGGCTCACTTGAACTAGGCAAGCACAAACGTATTATTGCAGAAACATCATGCACTTTACTTCTTGTTTGAATGCGCTGCAGCGATGTAATTACAAATAAGTTACCTATTTAAGAATTTTTTCCCTCAAGTACGGTTGGAAAATACAAACGTGCCTACGACTGTAGTTGCACTAAGCATCACAAGATGTCGACACCATCATCAAGTAGCCATGCATTCCTACAACACTTTGGGCATATGTGCGGCTGTGTAGTAAAAGTGGGCAATGTTGGGCAAGGCTACTGCTACTTCAGAGAAAGAGACACCCGTTTTTCAGGTGGGTGATTTGAAGGGCGCTAACACCTCGCAAACCACTAAAACGGGAGTTTATTTCATAATAAGCATTTTCTTGGCAAGATAGTCGCACTAAGAAGTTTCTGGATCGCTATTGCGGCGATCAACGATGGTTTAATATTTGTGTTTAGTATCCTTTAAGCTTTTTGTTGCGTCAGGTAGTGCGAACAGAAATTATATAATCCTTTATGAACCTGCACACGCTCACTTTGCCTTCCTCTTCACTTTCTGCTTTGCTCCTACAACATGTGCGTATGATTTGTCTAGCGCGGAATGCAATAACTATGATGTCAAACCTGTTACATGACTAAAAGTCGCATAATGTAGTGCAAGAACTAGTCACAGGAATAAAATTATTAGCGCTGTGCAAATAGAAAATTTTGGTGCAAAGCTAATTTGATTAATCAAGTTTGAATTGAATCAAATTTTTTTGAATAGTTGTGGTGTGTTCATTTAACATTTTTCAAATGCTTCAAAGGAAATATTTTGGTGCAAATCAAATTGAATATTTTTTGAATAGTTGTCCAATATTTGTTTAATGTTTTTCAAGTGCTTCAAAGGGAATACTACAGACAAAAGGTTGCAGGGGACTCCTAAGCACATTCTTGTGAGATAGGAAAATGGAAGTGTTTCTTTTGGCTAGGTTAGTATAGTGTTGTAGGTATAGTGTTTTCTAGTTGTTTTATTAAGGATGAGGCAATTCAGAGAGCAAAATGTATATATTTACATGATTTGGTGCAACCAATGTGGCGTTGACGACACCTTACACGTGAAAGGAAAAGGCTGTTTCCGGCACTTCTCCCTTTTTTAATTTTGTAGAGTCCCAATCGATATTGCAGACAAGTTGTGCTCCCTTCGAATTAGGAGTTGCTAATCTGCATTGTACCCATCAAAATATAAACCATCTGAAATTTCGGATGCTGAAAATCTTCTTCCGATTTTTTTGGGCATTTCGGTTGGAAATCAATAAGTAAAACACTCACCTATGCCGAGTAGGTTTGAACCAGCTCTTGCGTTAAACAATCCGTTTACGACTGTAGCGGATTCCTAAAGTCAGCTTTGCCGCAATACTAGCGTCTAGTGCGGTGAAGCATATTGAAAATGTGGAGGGGCTACTGTAACGGTGCGGTGCATCTCCATGTTGGAATGGGCGTTTTCTCGAGTCAATACATTTGCTACCGTAACAGTCTAAAAGGCAGCTTCGCCGCAATGCGGTAATGTGATTGGGTGAAGCATATCAAAAATGTAAAAGGTCTACTGTCAATTGAATGTTGGCTGTATTTATCTTCGCGATGTTCGAATAGTTTGAATAATCTTAACTCCTGTGCCAATCAAATAGATTAGCAAACACTATTCAAAAAGTATTCAAAAGCTCAAGTATTTGCACACCACTAAAATTATGTAACATCACATAGCAATCAGTCAAGAAACTGAAAGTCATGCTACTAGTCACATCACTAAAATCACGTATTATCTAGTCATGTGACAAAAAATTGCATAACATCACATAACAGCTAGTCACGTTATTAAAATCATTGCAACATCATGTAAACACTTGTTGTATGATTAAAAGTAGTTTAATAACTAGTCACGTAACATGTTCCTGCTATAAACAATCACTACAGAGTATCATTACCTAGTGTGCAGTAGAAGTTGGAAGTACGGTAGTTAGACATGACACTGGAAAGCTGTCCCAGGAGACAAAGAATCTCATTAAGAAACGTCAAACCATGAAAGCCTCAAACACAACAAACAAAATAGAACTGGCAAGATTTCGAAGTTGATTAATAAGCGTAAGGTATCCAATGTAAGAAGGTATAACATGGAGAGAATCGAACACGCTCTAAAGAGCAGAGGAAACGTCAAAGCGGGGAAGAGGACACTTGGATAGGCAAAAACCAGACGTATGTACCAAGGGACAAGGAAGGCTAAGTAACTACCAATATGGATAGGATAGTTAAAATAGTGGAGGAGTTTTACAGAAATCTCTACAGTAGCTGGGACAACCACGACCATATTGTAAGAACTGGCAGTAAGCCTGACTGGCAGTTCCCTGACTCACTCTGCTCTCTTCCTGTCCTTTAAGGTTACACCTATCATTTTCCTTTCCATCGCTCGCTGCATCGTCCTCAATTTAAGCTGAACCATTTTTGTAAGCCGCCAGGTTTCTGCTCTGTAGTTAAGTACTGGCAAAATGCAGCTGTTATATATTTTCTACTTTGATGATTAGTGGCAAATTACCATTGATTATTTAAGAATGCTTATTGAAAGTGATCCAACCTATCCTTATTTTTCTAGTTATTTCACTCTCATGGTTCGGTTCCGCCGTTACCACCTGTTCTAAGTAGGCATATTCCTTTACAACTTCCAGCATCTCTACACCTATCACAAAGCGCTGTTTTCTGTCGAGACTGTTGCGCATTAGTTTAGTTTTGTGCATATTAATTTTCAGACCTACTCTTCTGCTTTTCGTGTCCAGTTCAATAATTCGTACTACTGGTAAAAAATTGGTATCTCTAGCAAAAGCTTGCATTACTATAGTCGGATACAATTTTAGAAGTTTACATTTTTGTTCTCTTGCTTCGTGGTATCGTTTCTTCGCACTCCACCTTGTATAAAGTTTAGAAGTCCGCGGCATTTCCTCCTCAAAGACAGATGCACACAGGCTCGCACCAGTAGGCGTGCACTGTGAACTGTTGTCATATGGGCCGGGCGACTGGTGGCTCCACCTTTGGGGAACACCAGCATGTGAATCAGTTGGACTATTTCTTTATTCGTAACGTTATTGGCTGCTGCACATCAGTCATGTGGGCGGGACCTCTCCGGATTTCTTAAATTGTATAAAATTACAGGTGTGAAAGTGCTGCACCAATTGCACCATTCTGTGCTAATCTGACCTGCTGCACTAGGCTGTGCATAAACGACCATTTCTGTGATTATTTTCGAATCAGAGTTTAAATCGTAAAGTTTAGCAGATTATTATCATTGACCGAGCAACTTTGAACTTTGGCTAGGCAAAGGACACGGACGCATCCATATTCAGTGTTCGATCACATTGTAATTCAGTTGAATCGGTTCATTCATGGGGCTTGCTTATGCTCGTCTCATTTTTGTTATCTCCGTGGTTTCCCTGCAAAAGTGGTGGCACCAAAACGAGTAACTGTGAAACCTCGATAATTTGTACCAGCTGGGAACGTGGCATGATCATGTACTACACAGCAGTGCGCGTTTACAAGTACAAATGTGCATCTCCTGACGTGTGTCTCTGCCGCCAATAAAGAAATACGATACCACAGCAGATGTATCACAAAGTGCCCAACAGGAAGGTTTTTCTCCGTTTTTACAAGGTGTAAAAAAGATACTAGGCTGGCACTTTTGCACGATCATTTTATGGCGCGCATTGGCGACACCAAGGAGCATTTCGAAACTACTTCAGGTTCTAAGATACGCAGTGACTGAGATAGTGAGGGAATGGACACTATCGGCTTTCCGGGATACATATCTGCACTTTTCTACCGCAATCTGATATGAAGCGACAATTGACAGTTTAATTGAAACATGGAGCGGTCGTGTGGTCTCGGTCTTTTTCTGGTTAGTTGAGTGCAGCGTGGCGCCTATGCTGTTCACGTCGTCGCTGCCGGATAGCTCGCTGTATCGCACGCGCGGATTTACCGTGTGAATTGCTCATTCCCACTCTGCTCCATACCGAGCACAGATGAGCAGCGTAGTTTGTTCAATAAGCGTTGGGATAACGAACTTCTGCCAAGCGGAGTGCGCTGCGATTATCAAGCAGTCATTAAAACAAGAGATAAGGATCGCTTCTCCGTTTTTTCAGAGTTCTCTGTCAGCTGTGATGTACAATGATACAAACATACGCACACACGTACACTTGTGGGTGGTAGGTGTGTTAAGCTCTTTAGTATGCAATATTTAGAGAATGAAATTGGAATGTCGTTTTTATGAGGAATGATTTTGATTGACGATGATGTTTTATCTTAAAAAGCTGCTCCAAAACTAACTCCCCTATACTTTGTCTTGCATTATTGTCTGTTAGTGCTCATTAATATTGTGTATGACAAAGAAAACCAAGCCCTTGAATATACATTTTCCTTCGTTCATAGCGAAGGTCTTGATCTGGCAGACTTCATGCCTGCAGGTGGTACGCGAGGAATAATTGTTCATCTGCCATCTTTTAATAAGGTCACGTACTACGTGATGCCAAACAGGCAAGAAAGAGTGTTCCAACCTCTTTCAGTGTAACAGGTGGCACTGACTTATGCTCCCACGTTTAATGCACATTTATACCCTATAAAGTGGACAAAGGGATAACCGCCAACGTAGCTCAGTGGCAGAGCATCGAACATGTTATTCGAAAGTCACAGGTTCAGTTCCTGCCGGTGGCAAGTTATCTTTTTATTCACTTTTCTTTTTTCACATTTGTATACAATTACTTCTAATAACTACCCTATACTTTCCCTGGCGTTATTGTCTGTTCTCATTAATATGGTGTCCAACAAAGAAAAAAGAGCACTTTAGTATACACTTTCATTCATGCTTTGCTCCAAAACACGCCTTTTTGTGCTCCAAACCTGCTCCAAAACTTGCCTTTTACTGCGCCAAAACTGCTCCAAAACAACATTATACCTGCTCCGTGAGCTGCTCCAAAACACTAAAGTCCCCTTCCACACCTACAATTATAGCAAACACTTAAGAAAAGCTAGGTTGAACAATAGTTCCATTGTGTGTTCCCACCTTGTGCCACCAGTATAAGCTATCCACATTTTTTTATGAGACTGTGGCTGGTTGTTTTTGGCTAGTTTCTTTGAGAGGTATAAGACATTCATGTGATGTGAAAATTACCTGCCTTGCAGGCTCTTATTTATCTTACATGCTGAATGGTAGACTGAAAGGAGAAGAAGAAAAAAAAAGCTCTGTTGGTCGAGTATGTGGTCCAAGTAGCACCTATACTTTTGTGAAAATGACAGTTGAGGGAGAGGGGGATAACACAGCTTCACTTGGCTGTGTACTTGAAAGGTGTGAAAACTTGCCCAAAAAAGAATTGCTGATAATCTAAGCCCCTGAAAAATTTTTTTTTTTTGCTTTCTTCAAAGGGAATGGCAGATGCATCGTACATTTCAGACTGCATTGACTCTGCACCGTCCTGATGTCGTGACTTTTTTAGGTGAGGCTTTTAACATCGCTTATGTGTGATGTTTTTATGAATTTTGACATTATTGTGTAAATGTGACATCTTTTAGCAATGTAGCTGTTTCCTTACTTTCACTCTTCTGTTATTTTTCCTTCCAATTTTTCGCATACAGTTTGCGAGCTCAGTGCAATGCAATGCAAGCACTGCTGAGCCAATGATATGAAACCATGCTGTATTCTTTGTGTTGACATCAAATGTTAAAAAGAACTAATAGTTTGAGAAGATAAAATGAGATGGGCCTTACAGAAGCTTTTTTCAGATAAATTGAGTCTACCAGACAACATCCCCATAGAAATTGGTCTGGAATTTGGACCAGAATTAATGAGTCATAGTTAAATTATGTCAACAAGTTGTAAAATGGAGAATAGAGTGGAAGAGATTTATTTTTATGCAACTTTATTAAAAAGTAGATTCAAAATAATGTTTAAACCATAAAAACATGACTTTAATATCTTGTATAAGTAAACTACTAATCAAGATTATACACAAGGGGCTGGAATCATTCTTGTAAATAGAAGGTAGTGAAGCAAGCAGGGCTCAGAGAAGGGTGTGGGGCCATATAAAACATCGGAAACAGGACACAGTTGATGGAAACTTGTAAAGGATATAAAAAAAATCTACTTTTAATTGGCCAAAGAAAATAAACATTGGAAGGTACCTTGCTTCGGGTAAGCACCCATAGTCCTCTTCAAGCATGTGATGTTTTATTCCACAGAGCCTGCAAGCTATATTGCTTATTGATTCTTTCATTCTAAAAATTCACTACTCCATCAGAAGCGATAAAAGAGACATTGATGGTCTTGCTGAATAATAGAAAATACATTAAACATATTATGACGTCTGGGTTGAGACAGCGTTTATTTAGCCAAGGGCTCAGCAGCGAACGGGCAGTCTGAGACCGAGCGCGCATACACTTGATGATGATTGCGGTGACACCCAGTGAAGATGAGGACAGGGACCCAGACGGATGATGATGAATATGATAATGCATATATGAGAAGAAGTGCATAATGAATGCCCACAATATGTTCTACCTTGTCATGTTTTCTGAGCTACACCTGAAACAGAAGCATACTTATTGCTCATGTCATTTTTTACTGTTAAAAGTATATGGAAGACAAACTTAGAGTTATGCAGGCTGATGTGTAAAAAGAAATGTCTGCAGTCTTCAGACAGTCCTTGTATACAGCAGCACTCTAATCATTGGTATCCTACTGCCACTGTCAGTTGTTTTTATTCAGCGGTTCCCTGTGTGAAGAATATCTATAAACACTTTAATGTCTGAGTGCTGCATGTCATGCTACCATTTTTTTAAATGTAAGCAATCTGAATCGTTGTAAATTTCAGTCATATAGGGCACTTTATATGAATTTTTTTTCTTTAAGAGTAGTCTGTTGGATAACTTGAGTTGATGTTTATGTCAGTTTATAGCTTTACGTTACCTCTTTGTGTCAACCCTTTTGATGTTGGCCTGCCATGAATCAATTACCGTAGTGTCGTTTCGTGACCATTGTCATACACAGTCCAGCCTCGAAAAATGGGTGCTTGTTCATGGTGCATCTGTTGGTCATAGCAGTGGTAGTGTTATTAGCTGAGGTTGCCATTTTAATAGTGCAATTTGCATAGTATTAGCCTAATAAGGCTAGATGAACATTGTTCGAGAACACCCCAGCAACAGAATCTTAATAGTGCCATGGGGCTGCTTTCCGCCCACAAGTGGCTTTTCGTAGAGCCTAAATGCACAGCTAGCAGCTGGCACCGTGGTATGTAAAAATCACCCTGTATTTTTTGTGGCCACTCGTGAGATGTTATTCCTGTTACCTGAGACAGTTTTAACTTACCTAGTGATTTCTATGGCATCACTTTTCACAACCTGTGCATGCATTTTCAATACAGCTTTAGTCCATAACACTTGGGTAACATGTTTATGTGGAGGTAGGGAAAAAATATTAGTTTTTATTGCAGACTTCTCCAGAGATGAAAAAAATGAAAAATGCGAGAGATTACATTCCTGGCCAGGCCAGTCAGTGACACTGAGAAGCTCATGTGTTTATAGCTGGCTTTCATTACTGAGGGTGAGCACTTTGTAAACTTGCACGATGTGAGCATGTGGTATGAAACATGCTGAAAAGAAAAGCAGTGATTTGCTTATGCACACCAGAAAAAGCATGTCTGGCCTGATCTGACAGCAAATAAATGGTGCACACTTTTGAAATATTTTGCAGTTCGGCAGTGGTGTGTATTAAACCAGGGAAAAGATCCTGTACTTGACCAATGGAGCACTGTAACACCAACGCTACCATGACATAGTGCCTTTGCACAATGATCACTAATAAAATTTCTGTGGTTTCTGTCTTTTTTTGGGTTTTAGGTGTTATGGCTGTTGAAGATGTCAGTCTCAAAAAAAAAAAAGGAATTCGTTTTTATGTACGGCCTGGCCTTTTCCCCTGCTAATGGATGGGTGTGAATGGTGGATATTGAGAATTTATGAGAAAAAAAAGAAAGCTAGATTCTTTTGAGCTATGGGGCTGGTATAGAGGTTTTAGCATCCCATGCCAGTATTCGAGGCAATACTATCAACACTGTGAATGACTCAAGCTAAATACCATCGCTCACTTATATTTACTTCATTATACTTAAAAAAATATGTCCCCAAGTATTTTACTTTGGGACATTTTGCAATTCTGATTTCATATTAGTTGTAGCAACAAAAGGAGAGCAATATTTGCTAGCAATACTTAGACTGTTTCATTGCTTACTCATAGTAATAGGCTTGGTTAACTAAATTAGCTTTTTTTTTGTTCATCTGGAGGGATGTTCATCTGGGAATTCAGGCCTACAAAAATGTGTACGAAGCTTAGACTAATATTTAGTATCAGGTAAATACATCAGATGAAATGAGTTCAGAATTTTCTTTCAGGGAAAAGTTAATGAAACTTGAAGGACCCCTGATAGTGAAAGCTTCGTTTGCAACTTTTTTACAGTAATTTGTAGCTTTGCATTTGGTAATCAGGAAATGAAATTGTAAATGTATGAATGCATTGTATAATTAATGCCAGCATCAATCATTCAAAACGATTTTGCGTTAGTTTGAAACGCCCGCCTAAGTACCATTAGGAACTAGCCCCTCACCAGCAGGGAAGTGCTTGGGACTGTGCGCTAAAAGTTTGAAGACGCTGAATGCGTCGTTTCAAATTGGAGGACCTACAGGCAATGAGAGGGAAATAATGTGGGTGCTTTGAGCGCGTCCCCTTCAGAAAAAAAGAAGCATTCGTGGTGTAAGCTGTCAAAACCACCTCAAGAGCAGCCTGACAACAGAGCGAGATGGATGACGAACAATAGTCCTTGCTGGGTGCCAGCCGGGGTATTGTGCCCGCGCCGCAAAAGTTCACTGACGTCGACAATACTCTCCTTACTTGTGGAATGTCACACAAGGCCTCAGTCTGCATCATTTCAGAGAAAGTGTCAATTGGTGCTGATAACTCTTGATAACTTTTGATAAACCAAGTAAAAATATCTCATAAGCAATGCTAGTCTTCAATAACCGGTCATCAGTGCTCCTGGCATGCAGGACTTTCAAACAACACAAGCATCTCAAGTTTTCAAATTGCGTGTCAGGGGTTCTTTAAGCTGTTTGTTTTTTGCCCATTACATGCGAGCTACCGATGTAATCGAGCTGACTTTAACCCTTTACGGCCGAGTATCACAAATTTGTGACATACCGAGCAACTTCGAGCAAGCAATGCGTGGAATGCGTGCTGCCTTTAATGCAGGCTGTCAAGTACTCATGGGGAATGTAGATTTCAGCATGGAAAATCTAGTGCCGTCTCGTCTAGGGTATTTTAAGCTAGAATCAATTGTTTCGTAGCTGATGGGGAATAGCAGAAAGTGTATGCAACAGCTCCCACTTCATTTTTTCTCGCCTGGTTGACATAAGTTCTATTGTCAATAATTTTGTTTGTTTGGTGTGTGTGCATTCAAGAGGTGGCACAGGACATGTTATTTAGTTCTGAAGTACATTTTTTGCTGCAAGGTCTTCGGTTCTAGGGCATATAGAGAATTCGTGACATACATAAAAGTATGCATTAAAGTTGCGTTTTAGATAATGTAACTGGGAATCATTTAAAGGTTGCTATTTAAAGCTGAAAAATGAAAACAATTTTTATTTTATTCAGCTGTTTCATAATTCAGCCATTACAGGGTCAATAAATGTGGATGGTAAGAGGAAGCAAACCCGGCCATGTACAATGATTGGATGGTGTTCTGAAGGCCACATCTAAATTTCTAGAGGAGCTTAAATAACTTCTGCTAAAGAGGTCTCACTGGTTGTTATGAAGCCCATAGTGAGACCAGGATTTGCCAGCAACTCAACAGTATTTAAAGCAGCAACAACAATACTATGTTGTATTCATGGCATGTTGCCTAGCCATTGCAAAAAGTTTATTCATCCTGTTCAAAAAGTTGCCCTTCATTTTGGGAAGAGTGATAACCTCAAAGTTTAAGTGCTAGGATTGCATGGTTCTCTGTAATAAATAGATATTGTCTCGTGAATGTCACCAAATAAGATCGGCGATGGCTTCTTATCGGCGAAGATCGGCGAAGGCATTGACAATCACTTGAAAACATATTGCCTGATAATAAAAAGTAGTCTAACCTTTCAAGACTCCTCTTTGTTTCTTTAGACCTATACTGGAAACCACTCTAGGTGAACAGAAAAAGTAGCTCACTTTACTGAGCCTCTTATTATACGTAAGCTATGAAAGAGTATCGAAGCTTATAGTACATTTTGCTCTTCTCTTGTTGCTAAAATCAAAATTAACAAGCTAATCTATACTTTAATTGCCTACTATAGCACAAGGCATGGCCAAATACAGCACCTAAATACAGCAGACTAAAAAAACTAAATGCAGCAGGAATCAGAGTTGCAAAATGTAATTGAGTGACATACTGGGCACCGTCGTATAAATTCGAAGTGAAGTGACGAATTGAGTTTGTGAGTTCACTGTGTTGATATTGCCATAATTGGTGATTCTTATAAGCACTGGTTGAGAAAAAATACTATATGAAGAATGATACTGAGAAACAATTTTTGTGTTTTGTCTGCTGCACTCAAGTTTGCCTGCATCAACCTGCAGGTAGAGGTGGAATTGAAGGCAAGAAGAACTAAGTGGCTTCTAGAGAAAAATGTTTTAGTACATTGTTTTAACTGCCTCAGTATGCAAGGTCCCATTTGAGTTGACAAATAGTGAACATCCAGCATGAATAAAAATATGAACTTACCTGTTAGTTTTTTGAACTCTAAGTTAGTGATTCTTTTCCACAGAGTCCATATAAGTGCTTCATTTGTATTTATTCAGATTGCACACACAATTTTTTTTTTGCTCACTACATTAATAATAAAGCATAACTGGCTATATGTGCTGTTCCAGGGGATGTCTTCGATGAAGGCCAATGGAGCAATCATGAAGAGTTCAGGGTGTATATGAAACGCTTCTGGGATCTCTTTTACGTGCCTTCTCATGTGAAAGTTATTGTGGCTGTTGGGAACCATGATGTTGGTTTCCATTACAGGTAAGTATCCATGAATAAAGTAGCAGAGCACTGATTGCCTGCTTGCTCATCACTATTATGCTGGTTGCTTTTACAGGATGCACGAATATTTCGTAGATCGGTTTGAAGAAAATTTTAACACCTCAGCCGTGCACTTGACTGCAATAAGGGGCAACTTATTCGTCACTGTCAACAGTATGGCATTATATGGGGACAGCTGCAACTTCTGTGCTCGAGCTAGAATGGAGTTGGGAAAGATCAGGCACAAGCTGCGGTGTTCTGAGAGAAAGGTTGGTGATTGTTCATGCTTATTTTTTTTTTGTAGCTCTGAGAAACTGGTAAATATGTTGATCATGAATGTGAATCTTTTATGTTTGTGCAAGAGCTTTGAGAGTTACTTTTAAAAAATTTTGAGTGCTATGAGCTTTCAAGATATCTTAAAGAAACAGTAAAAAGAAAAAAATAATTTTGCTTGTATTAGGGTGTTGCCCTTTTACAATACCAAAAACACCACTCTTGTCATGAAAAGATCCTTAGCAAGTTTGCAAATGTGAAAAAAAGGATGTATAGGTTGTGAAAACTGACCCACAACATCTCACTGTGGCGCCATAAATTTTGATGGCATCTCCTTAGATGCAGAGTTATTCAATCATATGTGTTGCGAAACTCCCCTTAAGCTCCATGTATCGAAATACAGGCACGTTGTTGGCTCCCCCTGTTGGGAGTGAGCAGATTGTCGTGCCACCTGTTGATCCGCGCACCCATTATTAAATGCATTATTTGTTTTTGTGTTGCCACTCCCAGGTGGCGGGAACGTCAGCTAAACCCCGAAAAATTGGGCCAACTGCATGTCCGGATTTTGGAATGAAGTTTCGAAACTTGTATAATTGAATAACTCTGCTTAGACGTACATAATTTCTTATGGCCACCATTTTTGTGGCTTGTGCATTGTGTGCTGCAAGCATTTCTTATAGCTCCAGGAAGCATGATACACGCACCAAGATTAATTTATTCTCACTAAATACATTGATATTTCCTTTTTTTTTGTGGACAGTTTTCGATTTTGGTTTCTGGGTGCCGAATTGGGCAATTACATGAAAGTGTAGCTCGGTCCCGTGGCCACGCAAGGCTGTGACGCATGTCGTACTGATTATCATCTGCTCTCACTGGCCTTCTCGCACACACGTGCCGCATAAGCACCTGCAAAACAAACGTGTAGCAGCCACGATGCTTTGCCAGTACGTACATAGCGGAGGTCTCCCGAGGTCACTCAACTCATTTACAATAGGCGTGCGCATGGGAGGGGGGGTAAGGGGGCAGCCACTCTCATAGTTACCTACGAGGAGGGGGGTGCAAACACAGTCCCACACATTGACATAATAGGGAGGGGGTGCGAAGTTAGACCCATGCATCAACATAATAGGGAGGGGGTGGGCTGCGATGAACCTTTGTTCTCTGTGAAGGGGAAACCTGTGCACGCCTATGCTCACTACAGATCTGGTGTGACATCATTGCAACTTTCGTCGCCCTTGCTACAAAGCTACGACAGTTCTGGACACGCTTGCAATGCGCTTTGGTTGGGAGAATGAGCGTTTAGGTACACTTTGGAGGTGAATTAAAATAAGTTCTTAATGTTTGCTTTGTCCGACCGTTCGTGTGAAGTGTCCTAGCATACAGAGGAAACCCACAAGAGGCTTGTTTTGGCCTCGAAATTTGATGGCACCATCCCTTCAAGTTTTTTCTGAGGGAGACAGCTACTTCAGATACAAAGCTTCAGCAAGTTTTCTCAATCTAGTGTGGTTAAAGTATGAAGAAAGAGATTGGTGAATCCAAATAAGAATGGAGGAGGCGGTCCTGGTTGCCATTCCGGATATCGATGGAATTTACTTTAAGATCAGATTTTAGATCCAGAGTAATGACTCTGAAGGTAGTTTTCAGAAGAAAAAAATGTGCTTGCAAAAAAGAGAAAATTCCTATATCTGCATGAATGTTCAGTGCATTTAGCGAAGAAATCTCACACACACGTGCACAGACGTACACACACAGACAGATTGAAACAGATAGTAAAATCCTAAGCAAACGTCTCTTTTTTCGAGAGATGTGCAATAGTATGAGCCGATGACAGAGCAAATGCCCTCCACCTTTTCATCTTCCCATTTTCAGTTTCATTCACTATTTTTAAAATAGTTAACACATGCATATTTTTATTTGAAGCATGATTGCATATTTTTTAATTTTTTAGTGTCCCTTCCTTCAGCATCTTGAATTTTGCTCCACGATCGAGCCAGGGGTGGATATAGCCACTCATTTTTTTTTGGGGGGGGGGGGGGGGCGGTCGCTTGAAGTGAAACTGGATAAGGGGGCGTGGTCATTACTTTTTAAAAATTTTTACAAGCACGAAAACTTTGCCATAGCATAAATACTGTTAATATGTGGTCAATGTGGTCCCACTCATTTGCCTTGATTAGTGAGAGCAGGTGAACGGCAAACTATAAGGAGAGGGGAAGGGGGTACCGACAAGCTTTTGAAGGGGGCGATTGCCCCTACCGCCCCCCCTTCCCCCTGGATCCGCTTGTGGATCGAGCAAGGGCTCCTCCTCCAAAACTCTTTGGATTGTCTTTCACCGTAGGAAAGCAGCTTGCTCGGGATTTTATGGTAATGTATTGGACGTAACACTCTGTGAAAGTACCAAAAACAGAATGCCTAGGAAAAGCTTGAAACATATGTTATTGGCAGAAGAAGATGTGCATTGCACATTGTGCTTCATCTAAGCACTCATCATTCAACATTTGAGCAATAAGATGCCAGGCAGCACAGCATTCTACATTTTTCTATTGTTGGCACATGCAAAGCAATGACAGAATTTTTGGTTTGTTTCTGTGTTGGTGATGCAGGAGAAAAATTGCCGAAAGGAAGACAGACTAGAGACAAGTGGTCGACCTGTTATACTCATGGTGCGTATGAAGTTTAGTCTAAGCAAACTGTTTTTATTGCTTTTTAAATGGGTGATTTTCTTTGAGGGAGCCATTGTAAGTTGGAGTTACTATGATTATGTTGTGCTTATGGGTGTACGTTTCTACAAGACTTGTTAACTGTGAAGTTCATTGTGCATTTCAGGATCTTTACACTACTTATAGTAGACTCTCAGTAAACGGAATTGTTGCCGAAATGCAACAACTACCTCTAACATGATTGGTTTAGTGCTTGTATTCAGCACCTCTGCTCATCTCTAATTAAAGGAACTCCTGATGAGTGGAACATATTTTCCTGCCCCACTGCAGTGGTCTAGTGGCTAAGACACTCGGCTGCTGACCCACAGGTCGCGGGCTCGAATCCCAGCTGTGGCGGCTGCGCTTTTGATGGAGCGAAAATGCTGTAGGCCTGTGTGCTCAGATTTGGGTGCACATTAAAGAACCCCAGGTGGTTAAAATTTTCGGAGCCCTCCACTACGGTGTCTCTCATAGTCATATGGTGGTTTTGGGGTGTTAAACTCTGATTATTATTATTAGGAACATATTTTCCTGGTCCTTCAGGGTTCTGTCTGAGATTCTACGGTTACTTTGCATAAGTTACTCAAAAAAATGGAAACATTCAAGATTGATGGCAGGTTTATAATTAATGTTACAGTTGAAGTCGCATATATTGAACCCACATATAACAAATTATTGTGTTTGTTGAACAGCTGAAAAATCAACTTGAAATATGTTTGATATATGAAAAATTTTTTTATATTCAATTATCTATGTATAGAACTTTCTTCTGATTTTCTTCTGATTTTCTTCAGATTCAATGTTTCTTGGTTCGACTGTAGCTCTATTCGTGTGTGAAATCGGCATTGAAAACAATGACAGTGTGAAGATGAAGACTTAAAATGAGCAATGCTTTAGAAATTAAGTTTACTAGGAGGCAATCACGAAAAAAAAAATATGACCCATATGTGAAAACCATTATGTGACATCATGCAATACTTCAAGAAGCTGAGACTCGCAATCCAGTACAAAATCAAATAGTAGTACAAATCCATAATTATCATGCTGTCTTGAAATAGTTTCTAGAAATTAACATGCTTTTTAAAGGTACACTAAAGGCAACCATTAAGTCGACGTTGATTGTTGAAATAGCGGTCCAAAAACCTCGTAGTGTTACTTTTATGCCAAGTAAGGGCCTATTTTGAAATTATATCTTGTTTTGGTGGTCCGCATTGGGTTAGTGCACTTCAAATTACCCGCCTCAAGAAACGGACTGACCGGACCGACTCGCGTCACTGTTGCCATGGACAACGTTGTTCGTCTTTACTGTGCCGCAGCCGACACTAGTATAGCTGCAGACCGAAAGCAGTAGGAGCCACAGCAGCAACAACGGCCATTGATTAATTTCCCGTCATTGGCTCCAAGATTGCAGACGTTTTTGGTTTAACTGCACCATGCTAGATGGCACCACCTGTCCGGTGTAACTACACGAAAATTGAATTTTTGAACCACTTGCCCCATTCTCCATAGTAATGCCCGGCAGTTATTTTTTCCATTAATCAATAAGAAATGAACAAGCAGCATTGCGTCTCATGATGCATGGAAGGCTCTTTATTTAGTGCAGCTAGATCGATTACTAGTGATTAGTTGTAGGCAGTCTATCTGATATTAACTGGATCATTTTGAAAATGTATTATAGCGGCGCATGTGTTCTTGTGCACTTGCCTTAAGTTCTTGGTAAGTAGGGCACTGTTGTTAATAATATTGTCGTTTTAGATGTTGTCATACATTGAGTTTTCACTCTGATATAAATTGTTATTTGACTTAAGTGTCCCTTTAATCTTCGTACTTGGCTAATATTTTAGTGTATTTAAGGGAATGTTTACAACCACACATTACATTGTGCTGGAAGATATGAGGCTAGGACTTTCTTTAATGCACTGTGTTGTCGTAGGCAATCATTCAAGCAATTGTCAGTCTGCCCAACATGGACATTTCCATTAGAGATTGGAGTCTGGTAAACAATGCAAGTGTCATAATCGACAACGTATAAATAGTGTTTACTCCTTACAGAGCAACTGGCTGTGGTAGAATTGCGCAGCACTCGGGTGCAAATCAACTTTTCCTTCCAGGCATGTGGTTGATTTGACCTGTTTGTTGTACATACTGAATGGAACAGTGCAAAAAACGACAACACCCACAGAAGAAGGATGCACGCAGTGCTGTGTGCATCGTATCCTGTATGTCTTGTCGTTCTTTGCCCTGTTGCATGAAGTTTCTCTTCCATTTTATTGGTTTGGGTTCTTGGATGCCTTACATACAAAACTATGCACCCACATGCCTGTTTCTTTCTCCTGTTTATTCTTGGTAGTTTCTTTCTCTTTTGGTGAAGCTTTCCAGTACAATAGACTCTCAGTAAACAGAAATTTGTTAAATGGAACTACTGCTGAAATGAAACTATTGCCTCTGCAGTGCTTGGTTTTGGGCTTGTATTCTGCATTCATGTTCACCTCTCAGTAAACGGTACTCCTGTTAAATGGAACATATTTTTCCGGCCCCTTCAGGTTCCGTTTACCATGAGTCTACTGTATTAACCATGTATAGACGTCGCTTAGAACATATCAGTGATGTTTAAATTTATGGCTCAAATTCCTTTATTTTTTGTTAAAGCGTGCCAGAAGTGGTACTGCAACATATTGGCCACCATGAAAGCTTTTCCATTGTGTCCCTTGTCGGGGAATAATGCTGGGTTTTTGCGTGCAACACTGGGGCTCAACATTGAGCATTTAGATATATGTTCACTTTCAAATTGTAACTTGCCACATGTTACTTTCAAAACATGTTTACTTCATTCATTTTAGCATGGATATTTTATGCTTAATTGTATATGTTGCATGCTATTACTCATCAGTGTTGATTTCGGAAGCAATAACATAAATTACTGAAATATTTATTTGACCGGAGCAGTGGTTTTATGTGATTGACTCTTTTCATATCTCCAGCACAGGTTTAAAAGAACACAAAATGTACAGTCAAATACACAGGGGAAGCTTGCAAGAATTATATCAACTAGAGGTTTTACAGAAATAAGGTTTCTTTGCATGATAAATTGTCATATTATACAAAATATAGAAGCCGTATTGTGCACCCAGAAAATTATTTTATTCTTACGCTTTATGGCTCCCTGAAAACTGTAACAATGTCCTAGAGGTGCTAATATTTATGTTTACCAGGTGTTTTATGCACATACTATAATAAGGTAATGAAAAAAAAATTAGGCACCCCAGTCTGTTCTGTCCCTTACCCATCATAATTTATTTGTGTATAAAAAAAAAAAAAAGAAAGCATCATGGCATCTTCTAGCGGTACATGAGCTATCAGCTCAAGCAGCTGCACCAGTTATCTCGCCAATTTTTCAATGTGCTGGTACTTTTGTGCAAAAGGCTTCTAGTGGATCAAATCATGTTTTTTTTTTTAACCTGTAAGTAGGCCAAGATCCAAAGTTTTTTCTAATTAACTCTACTCTGCAAGATAACTCGAGGGTTGTGGCACTAGCGATTCTGTTAGGTTTTCCCGTGAATGAATATAAGCTATAAAGTACAGTGTGTGTTAGCTTTAACCTTTTTGCTACCATAAAAAAGGAAGAAAGTTGGGACAAATTTGCCAAAAAAATTTTGTGCTCAATTTGTAAAGCTTTTTTAAAGGGCGTAGTACCATTCTTTCAATTCAATGGTGTGTTTTTATTTCACTAATTGCATAAGAAAAAAAAAGATCTGAAAGGCACCTTCATATTATGGCAATACAATGAAAGACGGCAAAAAAACAAAAGCCAAGATACAAATATCGCAACATGGACATGAGTGGCCATGCAGCATCAAAGAGCACTACTATGACAACTAAGGGAGAGTCTGGAGGTTTACTACAGCTGGAGGAATGGGACAAAGCGTCTCTGTCTCCAGCAGTTATTTCAAAGACATTAGACGACGGCTCATGAAATGGTGCTAACAGACTGATGGCATGGATGTAATGGCGAGCGTCTTAGGCGAATGGAGCTTTCTGTAACTGGAAGTCTCCTTTTTCATGTGTCCGAAGTAAGTTTCTGCTGGCACAGTTGCAACACTCTCAGTGTTCAGCCGCTTTGTGGACTCGAATAGCACTTTTTCTCTGAAAACACACATCAGCGCTGTATTTTTTGAAAGAAAATGTTTGGGCATTAGTACACTTGAACTGCGGCCGCTGAATGTTGTTTACTTTAAGAAATGTAGTTTGAGAGAAATGAGACAGTTGAGGTGAGGGAGTAACGGGACCCTGTCCTATTGATCTCTATCCTGCTGCCACACTGTATTATACAGTGCGAAATAGAAGGTGTAAGACAAAAGTTCTTACATGCACATTGGGGAAGCATATGATTGAACAAGAATTCATAGAGGTTAGCACGACAGTCTTGAAAAAGGAGCGCCGTCAATACTGCCGCCACAGCGCATCCAAAACAGAAATGTGTTTGCTGAAAGATTGCTGTTCTTCAACGAAACTGTTACCTTTGACAAGTCTGACAACAACATGTCAAGTTTTGATAATGACTGGCATGACATTTGTGACATCAGTTGCCCTAATCAACATGTATAATGAAGTGACAAAAGGGGATTTTTTTCTTGTCAGTTTCAGTAAAAAAAAAAAAAATGGCATTCATCACATGGCTAGAGTCAAAAGCAATAATACACTTTACGTAGGTGTGCAGTTACTGCAGAACAAAGAAAAATACTCTCAGTTCATCTCTATTTCTAAGAATCATGTGGGGACTTTATCGATTGCGGATATTGTGATTAAGCTACCGTTCTAAAAAAAAAATATCGGTGTAGCAATGTTTGTGGACCCTATTTAATATTTTATATTGAACTGTTCGCTTGTAATGGTAATTGAAGACACTTGAACCATTGCGTTACACACGTTTCACTCCTCCCAAGTAATGTCCCACTTTACCCACAGAGGCACGTGAATGGGACAGGTTTTAGCCATTAGAAACTATACTTTTATAGCTGCACCAGGAGCCGTAGGAACCAGTGCATCTCAGATGTTTTACAGCTTGTTTAGACCTGTATTATAATCAATCAAACAAAAAGCGTTCTGCGTTCAAGGTCTAAAAACTAAATATGCAATTGTGAAATGTGTCCCAATCCTCCCGATTATTCCCTATAGCCGCTATCGGTTCCATATGGGATCAATTTTTCTGGTTGACAAGGATAGTCGTCATCGGGCATTTTGGCCCAAAATATCACGATTATGCTCATGAACAGTAGTGAAAGGGTTAAAAAGTGGGGCACTTGCAACTATGTGGCGATTTGAAAATGTTTTATTATTATTTTTTATTTGCTACCTTATCTTCTATTCAGAAATACACTTTTTAAAAATGAGATTGACTTTAAAAAATGAGAATAACAGAAAAGCCTGCACTTTTCTGAATTTGGAATGTATTAAAAAAAAGTGTGCGTATCAATAAATGTCTGGTGCACTTTTCATCAGTACTGTAACAGTGCAGAGAGTTTCAAAATATTCCTGAAAAACTGGGTAGGCATGATAAAAGAAAAGGGAGCAATGGCTTGCTTTATCCATCACCTTTAAAGAAGGCTAGATTACAAAAAGCTTTTAACCTGATGTGATAGTTCAATTTGTTGTAATGTATAGGCCTCTCACTAGCCTGCAAGCTTTTTTTTTTTTTCCTTTTGCAGCATAGCTTTGTTATTCTTGTTCAAAAATGGCAGAAGCAGCTAGTAAATGTGTACTGTTGTTAATGTAGAACTAGCAACCTGTAATGGGCAGAAAATCTGGAAACTCGTTTGTGAAATGGCTAATTTGGGCAGTAAAAGCAATCATGATGAGGTCTAGCCATTCATGCATGTTGTAGGTCATTCACATTTGCATGAATTCAGCCAGCACAGTTGCAAAGCATGCCTTTGCTGTTCAGGGCAACTTTTTGTGGCTTTACATAAAGCTCAGCCGGTTTGTTACGCCCTTTCCCATGGAATCACGTAGTTGTTTGCTCACGACTCTATTTTTTGCCTGAATTCGGTCTGTGTCTTAGTATATATTTCTTCAAATGGCGCACTTTGTGGACAGATTCTGCTGAAGATGTATTTGCTTGTAACTTCCATAACATGTGAATCATTAGTAGTTTCCACTACTTGGCAATGTGGCTGTGGATACGGCTTTTGCTTTGTGCTGCTGGGCAGGAGACCATTAGTTCAACTGATTTTTGTGGGGGCTGCATTGGGATTCAGGTGAATTACGAAAACATTCATGTACTTAGATTGAGGGTTTATAGATGTAAATTCTGTTTAATGACCTCTGGCTAGTAAAGTATTCAGACTCTTCTGTTTTAAAGGCCCTACAGACCCAGAGTATCTGTGGCATGCTGAACACTATAAATGAAATGCTTACTTTTTACTAATGACAGTATTTGATGATTTAGTTAAGGAACATTGAACAAATAAAATGTAAACAGAAGCTTGGCTTTTCATTAAATTGCCATCATAAGCTCAGCTTGGATCTTATTAAAGTTTACTTCTTGCAGCACTTTCCTTTGTATAGGAGCTCTGACAGTGCTTGTTTAGAACCAGATGCTGCACCTGCAGCAGAAAAGGAACAGTTGTTTCGTGAAAACTGGGAGTGCTTGTCACGAGAAGCAACATCAATGGTAAGATTTGATCAGTTTATCTATATCATTTGAATATGTAAGTGGTACAGTAACTAAAAAAATTGATTATCATTGCTTGCCAAGGGCCAAAAGCCATACCTGACTCCTGTATATTCTTTGGAGAATTTTAATTTAAAGTGAAAAGAATTAGTATTATATAGCATTATGTTTAGAAGTTAGTGCTAGTGTGAATCATGGAGACTGATCTAAACATGCTCCTTGTTCTAGTATGCATTATCAGACAGTTTCATAGACTGTCACTGCTGTATACATACCAGCAGCAATTATCTCGGAAGTTCCTTTCAGCACTGTGAAGGCTACAGGGCCTCTCAGCCAATAGGAAGGGTGATTAGCCCCTCCACATGTTTTCTTCTGCATCACATCGTCTGCTCGGTATCTTCCTGGCATTTGCTCACACGCGTAAGGCAAGTAAAGCGACCAGACAGTAGTGCCAAAAAAAAAAAAAAAAACGGCAGCACCCATTGCAGCTGGGGCCCTCTCCCTCTAATTAGTCAAGTCGTCATTGTGCGCTGTATAACTCGTATACTGTATTGCTAACTGATGCTTGTATTTTCTTCAGAATAATGTGGTGATGCTTTGACAGCAATGTATTTGTGACTATATTGCGCTCATTCTAAGAACCATTTTCAAATTGTCAGTGCATTAAGCGTAGCAGGCATGGCTAAACAAACAGTTTATCTTGCATATAACGGCAAAGTGCATCTGATGCTTTGTCCTCAGCATGAGATGCCATAAAGTGATGGCTTATTACACCATTTATTTGTTACTGCCAGTGCAATGGGTCAATATCAGGTGGGAGTACGGATTGAAGCGATTGGTCGGGTCTGCATGGGTGCTGCCATATGGATTTGTAACCACAGTTATCGGCAGATACCGATACAGCAATCAAAGGCACATAACTTCAATGTAAGAAAAAATAAACGTATCTAACAGTCAATCACGCTAAAGAAAGTAGTGCATATTATATGAGGTAGTTGTAAGGTCAATGTGAAGAAAGAAAAGTGGATGAAGAGATAACTTGCCGTGGGCAGGGACCTATTGTCTGTTAGATCTCATCAATATTGTGTCTAAAGAAAAAAAAATGATCCCATAAGTGTTCACTTCTTTCCTTCATTCATAGCGAGGGCCTCGTTCTGGCAGACTTGGGGCCTTCAGGCAGTATGCAAGGGAATATTGGTCAGCTGCCAGCTCGTAATAAGATCACGTGCTATGGGACGCCAAAACAGGCAGAAAACGTGTTCCTACTTGCTGTTATGGCTACAGGTAGCGCTGATTGACGCTCCCAAGTTTAATTCACATGTATACTCAATAAAGTGGATGCGGGGATAGCCGCCATGGTAGCTCAGTTGGCAGGGTATTGGACGCGTTATTCGAAGGTTGCAGGTTCGGTCCCTGCCTATGGCAAGTTATATTTTCATTCACTTTTCTGTCCTCAAATTTAATATACATTTACATCATAGTATAAAATCCCCTATACTTTCTTTGGCATGATTGTCTGTTTGATCTCATTAATCTTTGTATTTGTTGTTTGATGCTACCTTCAATTCGTCATGCATCGGTACAAACTAGCCCAAATTTCAAACCCTTCAGTTACATAAGGTGCTTTAAAACACTATGCATTGTCCATAGCTCCTGGATCACAAGTAGTTCTGCATACTGTAAAAATTTAATAGGCAACATTGTACATTTTTTGCATGGCCTTGCAGGAGTCACTCTACTATGGCTCGACTTCAAAACATGTAATAAATATTCTGCCTGTATTTAATTATCCCAGAGTAGGGTTGCATTCTGTATAAATATATAAATTACTTTGTTGTAAAGGAAATCTAACTTTTGTCTTCCTCTCACGTGTTTTCCTTCTCTTGGAATCCACTTAGTTACACTTAATTAGCAGCAGTTATCCTGCTTATGTACGTGCCCTGCCATGTCCTCAACACTCTCCAAGGTGGAAAGGTGGGCATTTTGGTATTCCATGTTTAAGAAGGGTAAGAGCGCACTGAATACGAATACACAAAGAAAGGACACACACACACTCTGCTCTCTTTTGGTCTCTTGAGGTTACACCTATCATTTTTCTTTCCGTTACTCGCTGCATTGTTCTGAAGGGTAGGCAAAACGTTTTAAGAAGTTCACAGGTGTGACATGGTAGCAGCAAGCACAGGACAGGGTTGATTGGCAGAACATGGAAGAGGTCTTTGCTCTACAGTGGGTGTAGTCCGCCCCCTACGCGGTGGCTGCCACCGCCGAAGAAGAAGAAGAAGAAGGAGAAGAAGAAGGAGGAGGAGAAGAAGGAGGAGAAGGAGAAGAAGGTCTTTGCTCTGCAGTGGGTGTAGTCTGCCGCCTACGCCGCGGTGGCTGCCACCGCCGAAGAAGAAGAAGAAGAACCGTCTCACCTTCTTTTCACTTGTTGGTCTTTGCTATTCATTGTATCTGGTATATTACTTCTGAACTGTGCCATCACAAAAGCTTCTCAGTACTTTCTTTGTATATGTTTAATTATCATTCCTATGGTCATGTTTTATATATTTTTGCTAAGCTTTATCATATGAAATTCTAATTTTGCCATTTCTTTTTCATGCAATTCATCTAGCTTCTGGATAGCTTGAATCCCCGTGCTGTTTTTACTGGCCACACCCATCATGGCTGTTTGACAATGCACCGTAAAACCATACCTGAATGGACACTTCCATCAATAAGCTGGAGAAACAAGCGAAACCCCAGCTTTGCACTTGTAAGGAATCTCAATCTCTTTATGGTGCATTCATGTTTTACCTTTCACTCGCATTGAAATTGAAATCTGCTGGTTGCACAAGGTGACAGTTTACCCAAGAGTCACGTTTAGAGCAAATTCCTTTTTGTGAAAAAAGTTAGCCTAAAATTCTTCACACATTTCCTCCTAACATATGTTCTTGTGCTAAGGCATAATAAGCAGTTGAGCGTTACCGTCCTTTAAGAGTCCCTGCTACTTTCTTTTGAAAGATTTCAGTGCTTATAAAACATCTGTTCTTGGGAGGAAATGGCTTTTTTTTTCTCCTATGATGTACATTTGTATACTGATATTTGTAAGGTTACTGATGTAGAGCTTCTTTTGATACTTTGTGGTTGTGCATGTTAGATGCATGAAATAAGCTTTACTGGCTTAATTCATCCAGCTCTTGACAACCAATTATAGTTTTTGTTTGTCCTATCTAAGAATTTCTGTAGCAACTATGAAGTAAACTGCGACTCAACTGAGACTCATGATGGTACCCTATACAGTAGTAGTTCTACTGCGTGCATGTTTCAGAATGATTGTGACTCATGCTATGCAAAATCATTTTCTAAATGCTTCTTGCACGATGCAGAGCTTACAAAAAAAAGTGTATCTATATTATTAAAGCACAGAAAGTTGCAAAATCTCTTTGCACATGCATATACTTCAAATGCAGCCAAAACAAATCGGTGTAATATTTAGAGCAGGAGTTGATGGCTCCTGGAGAAATGAGCCTTAATGCACAAATAATAATTTATGAAAATTTCTGCAACTGTCCAGTAGTTCTTGCAGTTACATGCAAGAAAAAGTTCTGCAAATGTGTGGAACTACATTTGAACCAAATTTTAGGATGACGAAGAAAGTGTTGTGAATTTACCTATAAATATAAATACTATGTACCGTACTACAGTCGAAACTCCACCTTACAAAACCGGATTTTAATAAGTTTCTCTTTTGACAAAGGAATTTCTATTTTTTGGCAGGGTTCAATGTTGTCATGAACTCATAATAACGTAGCTATTCCACTATATACGATTTAACAAAGTTCGTGAAATAAATTTGTGGAAAAGCGAGGATGTTTTTCCTACTCGACACACTCGTGGTGATCTGTTAACCTTGTTGTCATAGTTTAGTCTTCTAAGCAAGCTTCCTTTGAAAGGAGTAAAGGCAACTAGTCGGTATGAGGTTCATTGCAGGAGTTTCATCTGAGAATAGCTCAGAATTAGGCTATGTTCCTCTAATTTTGTAATGGCTCCCCATTTGTTTCACTGGTTTTATTCAGGATATTTTTGGCACTCTGTTGCAACAATGTACGCTACCTTGTTTACTCTGGTGTTCTTTGGCCACTATACTTGAATGCTATCGCAACATTTGCAAAAGTGCACTACTGAAATTGTAGAGGGAAGTGGCACGGTGAAGAGGGAGGATAGGCAACCGAAACTCATTTTTATATTTGTGCATCACACTTGGTGAAATTCAGCTCAGGTATGTTATTCTTTATGTTGATTTAAATGTTTCTTGTGAAGTTTTGTGGTATTTGAATATTTTTAGTGTTGAAAGCACCTTGCAAAAACTAATTGTATATCAAGCTACTCAAATGTAATATTCAAAGTTTTCTGAGCTTATATACGTTTCCTTCCTTTGAAATAAGTAAACTTTAGAATCTGAGTTTGGCCTTCTTCGTGTTGAAATTTCTATTTTTATTGTCAACTAAGAAGGCATGCACTTTTACTTTGAGTATATATTTGCTGCGCGATGTAGCTTATGGGCCAAGTGTGTCAAAATGCTAGCTTGTAAAAGCGAAACTCGTAAGAATGTAAGCCTCTCCCTCTATAGGCCTCTCAACCAGGGGGGCGCTGCTCCGCGCGCGTTTTGCCGCCTTTTTAGGGAAAACCGATTGCTCGATATTCCGCTCCCACATTCTGCCTGCGCTCTCTCAGCACGTTCACGTGCTCTGCACCCACTGTTATCTGGTTGCTGTGCATGTGCTGTGTCACCTGGACTTGCTCCGAAGGTTCAAAAAGATTGTAAAAACATTTTGACGGTGTGAATTTCACCAGAATAGAAAGCGATTCATAGGTAACTTTTGCGGGACCAAGCACAATGTCTTTGAACGAGTGCAATATGCACGTCGATGGTGAATAGCTGCCTTTCTATGACATAAAAAATGAAGTGGCGGTGCAAATTCTATATGTATGTTACCGGTAAAGCACGCATTTGCTGTGGCAGTTGTGCCTTTTCGGAGCTGTCGGCAAACCACCACCACGATTTCGTGTGCGTTTAATATAGTAGCGTTCGGATTTTAATTGCTTAGATGCCAAGTTTGTTGCATGACTATAAATTTATTAGGAGTTGAGTGTGAAGAGCCCAAACTTACGTCTGCCCTGTTGAGTTGCTGGCACCGCTGCACTGCGCAGTGTTCAGTTTCATAAGAGTTTCACTTTTGCCGAGGTTTTCATCGGATGTTAACGTTGTATCGTGAGCTCAATGCCACCTTGGACTTTTTTTACAACTTCTTTGAAAGCATAATGATGCGTACAAAAAAGTATTTTATGCCCACTTCGACCATGCATGTTACCTGCAGCGCATGTTTCATTTTGGATAATATGCATGCCTTTGATCACACAGCATGTTCACTGATTCGAATGTCGCTTTGGTTGTTTTGACAACCTTTTGACAAGTTTGGTCTTCGTCATGTTGTACAATAACCATTAGGATTGAGCATGCTTTTGGTTATGTCGAGATTTGCTCCTGATAACCGCGTGTAATTTCGGGACACGATCAAAAATTTTGTTGCCACCTTGATTTTTTGTTCAACTCGTTTTCATAGTGGCAGCTGTATATCGCCCGTGGCATGCAAGGATATAATATTTTTACGTGCCGAAAGCATATCATAAGGAAGCACGCTGTGGGGCCAGACTCCAGATTATTTCTGGCCACCTGAGGTTTCTTTTTAATGTGCACCTAAATCTATTTGAAGTGTAAGGTGCGACGACAACAGTGGACAGAGGGTGCACACACACAGAGCGCCACTTCTCTTTACATTGAGTGTAATCCCACAATACGCTTGAAATATGCAATCCTCAAACACTGTCTGCTATTCTTGCATCTAAATCTAAGCACATGTAGTATTACTACTTTTCGCTCTCATGGAAATGCATCTGGTGTATACGGGAATCGGACTCGTGACTTCGATCCTAGCATCGCGACACCTCAGCCTGTTACCGTATTTACTCGCGTAATCCTTGCACTTGCACAATTCTCGCACCCCCCACATTGCGCAACAGAAATATGATTTCTGTTTTTCCTCGAGTAGTTATCGCACCCCCGAAAACTGCTGCAATAATGTCGTGTGCTCTTTCCAGCCACTGATGATGATAGCACACATCATCTGGCGCCATCTCTTAAGCATCAAGCCTACTATTGCACATAGATTCAATCCAACTCAAGCCAAGCCGAAGTGGCCAGTGCGCCTTGCAGCGTGTTTTGTATGTTGCATCGGTAACCTTGTCAAGTTATGAGGCGATACTGAAGCTGTACGGCTGTTTTCAAGTTGCAAGTGATAGATAATGCACTAAAGAACGGCAACAGGGCCGCCGGTAGGCCCTTAGGATTGATGGTAAACTTTATTTCTTAAGAAAGAAACTGCGGACAATTCTGTTAAATAGCCATCAGCCCAATACTGACGTCCCACGCTTACCTTTTGAGGGCTTCTGTTGAGCGACGAACGCTGCCGCTACGCCCGCAACGTCCGCAAGCTTTGCGTATGGTATTCTAATTCTCGCCTATTTGCTTCCACTTTTTGTGTCTCAATTAAATCTTGTCTTGTGTTGAACCACTGCTTTTATTGTTGAGGTAAGTTTTAATTAGTACTTTTTAAAGCTTGCTGTTAGTTGTTGGTGTGAGAATCCCGATTTGCGGCCACTTCATTTTCTTTTTCCCTCTGTACGTTTTCGTTGAAAGTTTTCCCCGCGTAATTCTCGCACCCCCCAACTTTTCATCGGTTTTCCCGCAAAAAAAGTGTGAGGATAATGAGAGTAAATACGGTAACTTATCGGTGGGTGTTGCTTGCTTGACTTGTATACGTATGAACGCTCAGAGAAAACACGCAGCATGCCCGCAGGGGCGCCTGCGCAAGTAGGCGTTTGGTGTGTAGCGACACCACGGACCCGAGCTAACTGGGGAGTTTCTACTCCCTCCCACGCCTAGCCGTGAGTGGCTTTGCCGTGTCCGGGGAAAAGGGGATCCTGGGGGTTGAGCCAAAGCTGGGTGATTGGACCTTGAAGGCCCCCCAGCAGAGGCAACACACCTCTTTGGCCCCGGCTTCACGTAGACGGCACCCCTGGGCTGACCCACCCAGGGGAAATCGGCAGTTGCCTTTTCCTATCTCTCTCTTCCTACATCTTAGTCTTTTCTCGTCTTTAAATCTGTCCTGTCTTCTTCTCTCTTCCATTTACTTCCGATTTTTCATGGCGGCAAGGGTTAACCTTGTGTAATTACTCAACCTTGAGTAGTTATATTTGGTTATAGTGGCAATGTACGGCTGGCGTCTGCAGCCTTATGCTATTAAGTGCTTCAGCGTCCCCTGGTTGGACTCCATGGTGGGTGGTCGCCATTGCTGCCGAACAAAAAATACACTACTATGGGAACACCTGCATTTCCTCGTCTCCTAGATCGTCTCCCGCCTAAGAGGGGACGCACCGATGACATATCAATTTTCAGCCAACCCAGACAATGCTTTCCCAAATTCCATGTTGTGCACAGCGAAAACCCAACAAAACAAGCCAGAGCAATATCTCCATTTCTTGTTGCTAAATCCCTGACAAAGGTCTTGGGCCCAGGATACAAGGTTACAAAGATGGCTAGCGGAGACCTTCTCCTCGAGCTCCCTGAAAAACACCACTATGAAAAACTTGGCAGTCTCGTAGCATTTGGTAATATCCCAGTATCTATTTCACCTCATAGATCAATGAACACCT